AAGGTAGGCAGGGAGTAGTAAGGGTGATCCCGCGGGTTGCGTAGCTCGGCGCTTTCCTTGGATTTCTGTCGAAGAGTGTCCTTGACGGGCAACGGGGGAAAGAAGTCTGGATCCTGCTTCACCTGGGGTTGCGACGGTGAGGTCTGAATAGTGGGTCTACGAGCACTCTTGGTTGGTCGGATGGTTCTGTTGCATGTCAGTACACCCGTCAATATGTAGGCTCGGAGGGGACTAACCGGTTGGGGTCCTGTTCACTCAGAGGAGGCGTGAGGGGGAACAGAGGGTCTCCGAGATTGATTCCATGGCTTCCAACGGGCGTGGCAGTGATATCCTTGAGCATGGCATCTTCGTGGGTCATGAAAGTGGGGTATCCAGTGTGGCAAGAGGCAACAGAAACATCATTGCTTGCTTCAGTGAGAGGGGGAGAAACAGGGACGGGCTGGAACATAGTGGTATATTGGTCCATGGGAGATCCTTGGTAGTTCCGGGAGTCTGCAACAATGGAGTTCCATGCGTCGTTGGCAGCCAGGTGGCTGTCATCGGTGTGAGAGCTTTGGCCGACGGAAAGAGCATCGTCGGTTGAGCAGGACTGGGCACCATTTGATCCGCAAACATCATTGTCAAAAGCAGAGAAGTCAACCAGGGACGAGTAGTGGTTGAACTCTTGTGCGTGGGTGAAGTCCATGTCATTCTGTTCGGACATATCCTGGATGCTTGAGAAATCGGACCCGGCGTGATGATACATTACATCATTGGGGCCAACAGTGGTTGGCAGAAGCTGTTGGGAGAATGAATACGACAACATCTGGACTGCGGGAGATTCGGGCTTGGACATGGCACCGTTGTCAAGTGCATCCACGTCGCTCAGGGCCCAACCCTTGAAGTCACTGGGAGTTCCATGGCTGTGGTGGGTACTTGAACACAAAGAGAAATTGTCCTGGCTCGAAAGTTCATCATCCTGGATTCCTCTGGAGGCCATGTTGGAGAGTCCTGGGATCATTTGTGATTGCCTTGACTGGGAAATGTGGTCCATGTGGTGCAAAGATGACTGGGACAAAGACATATTTTGTGGTTCAGACTTGATCTGAGGGGTCATTGTATGTTCCAGACTGGCTGGAAGATTGGGGCAAGCACTAAAAAGCAACTTTCAGTCAGTACACCAACTTAGCCGGATACGAGAAGCAACAGAAGCAAAAATTCAATCGTGCATTGGGATTCCATAATGGACCAGGGCCTATGATCATGTTAGATTGAAGAATCATATGTCAGGTGAAGATCTACCAACCAGGTGGGTGAGAGAAAGACTGAGATCCAGGTACAGAATGGGTCCATCTAGCGGTTGAAGGTCGGGTCTTTGGAAAGAGGCCGATGGTCAAAGACGAGGTGGGTCGACTAGGTCGCGATATCCAGGAATGATTGGCCTGAGTGAAGTGATCGAAAGGTGATGAACGATGGGGCCATGAGTGCAAGGGTCGATGATCCATTTGAGTCCAGTTACTACAAGGGTAGTAACCAACGGTACGGGACGAATTGAATTCGAGGGTGATGGTGATACGGTCCAATATTTGTTGTCTTATTGTCAATCCAGGTCAAAGCGTCAGTCCTTAGGCCATGCTATACATTGTGAATCCAGGTCGCGGCAATTCAATCCAGGAGAAGGTGGAATCCAATTCTGGTATGGGTTCATGAAGCATCAAAAAATTCCAAGACGGTCAAATCCAAGGGCAGCATCCAACTTCCACACAGGCTTAGTGTGAAGAGATCCAAGGGTTCCAGGCAGAAGCAGAAAAGTGGTCCAGAAGTGTCGAGCAGAGTGTGCAACATTAAACAACACTCAAGAGTGTCCAGTCACACAGCGGCCGCTGTGTGACGCATGTTCATTCAAGCCACGGCAAGTGGATGAAGTTCGTCTTGTGACGAAAAGGGCCAGATGGGTTTAAAAGTCCAGGGAGTCCAGTGGGCGATGTGCGACGGGGCGAAAGTAGGCGAGACGGAGATCCAGAACGGGTCGAGAGGCAACAAGCGCATGGGGAGAAAGAAGCAAACAAGAAACAAAGAACGAGGGATCTACCTGTTATTCGTCGTGCTCAGACAGAAGCCTCGGAGAGGAGCAAAGAAAGCAAACAAAGCAAGCAGGTCCTATCCAGGATATGGACTGGGTTCCAGAAAGATAGAGATCAGGCTGGTATCAGGGCCAAGGAAGTGATTCTGCGTGTTTTCCTTCAAGATCCACGGACTGGAACTTGTCTGACAAGAGAAAAGAGGCCTGGGATCGAGTAAGATGTGGAAGAGAGTAAGCTAGCTGACTTGACTGTGACAAATCGAGCACAAGAGTGATGAAGTGGAGTGGTATCTTGAGAGTAGAAGTGGAAGAAGAATTGGGTATCGCTGATGTTTGGGTATCTAGAGTGGGAATCTGTTGGGTTTCTTCTTCGAGTCTGGTGTGAGATAAATAGGAAAGGTCGAGAAGGATTCCATCTGGAGGGGCATCGAGGGCCTTTAAGAAGCGATGGGATCGCATCTTTTTTTTTTTTTTTTTTCGCTCAGGAGACAGGGCGGGGGTCGTGTGTGTGAGAGGGGTGGGAAAAGGAGAAATTGCCGTCCAAGCGTGTGCCGGGCTTTGCATGCTCATGCAGCAGGCGGACTGCCTCATTCTTCCCAGAGTGGGAGCGCGACGGACGATGATTTGACCCTGCAAGACATGGCGGTGATTATGGTGCAGCGCCAGGTGGTGTTGTTCGCGCACTATCTACCAATGAATCAGTGGAGAAGCGGCTTGACGTGGCCGGGCGGGAGAAACGCGATGGATGAAAGTGGACGAGGATGGATGAGAGTGGATGAGAGTGGATGGGAGTGGCCGAAGGTTGGATGGAAGTGGATGCGGATGAAGGGATAGTGGATGTATCATTTGGCACCGGCACCACCCGGGCAATTCCTTCCAAGGAGCGGTGAGGCGGCACAATGGGCGTGATTGGCACCTCGACCCCGTAGACTGAGCATGATGCAATGGCAGGCAGTGGCAGGCAATGGCAGGCAATGACCGTCGCGTGCAGAACTAACAAACTAACGCAGCGCCCCTGACCATCAATCAGAAGCAATCAGGAGCAATCAGGAGCAATCAGGAGCAATCAGGAGCCGGTCAGGAGCCATCAAAAGCCCTCAGATTCAGCCCCCGCCTGCCCTCGTGAAAGTCACCAACTCTCGGCCTGCCATCGGCTGGGTGAGACAACAACACGTCAAGGCCTCCCTCCTCTCGGGGAACAGGGTTCTGAACTCTCCTCCTGCATCGCATGCAAGCAAACAACGCTGTCAACAGACTCTCGGACTCACGGATAACTTCTCCCCCTTCACCCCTTCTCTCCGTCAAACCCCCCACCTTCCCAAAAGTACCTACAGCTCCGACGATGAGGTGTTACGTTTCATCAGCATGAATAGGGACCTGCATGGATCTCGAGGATCTGGTTTCGAGGAGAATAGGAGGCAGAAATCGTCGCATTTGGCACCACGGTCTCCAAATGCGCCGGGAGGTTGGGCAGCAATGTCATCATCTAATTACGGATAGTTTCGGGCAAGTGGGAACTGGACGGGATCTAGTGAAATGATTTTCATATTTTAATTGCTTGTGTCTTAGAATGGAATTAGAAATTCAAGAAGAGAACCTGTTTCTGGAGTCCGCTGATTACGAATACCGAGGGAGGACTCCGGGTCATGGATTCCTATTTACGGAGCGCTTGGGATCTGTGTCTGAGAACAGGCAATGTCAGCGATGGCCAGCAAATAGAATGGCGTGAAATGACAATGCAACAAGGCAGGCATGGATGTGTATCAGATAAAATTGAAAGATGGTATACGGTTTTCGTTCAGCGGTCCGAGACCTCAGGTGAACTATGCTTATTGGTAGGTTGTTCATCATCAAGGGCGCGAGGGCCCTCCAGCGAACATCCATGCGAAAGGAGGGGCAAGAGGAGAATAAAGAAACAAATGGTCTGCTTACCTTCGAGCTGATCTGTGAGCATGCATGGTTGCCGATTTAGGCGACAGGAAAAAAAGGCGAAGGACAGAAAGCCTGTTTCAGCATCCGACTTGACAGTTTCGTGGACCTGTCAGCATAAAGACAGGAGGTCCATCATCTTGTCGGATGCAGACAGCACGACAGCGCAATAGCGCGACATGCGCAGGTTGACTGCTGAAACAACGCGAGGGTTGTCTGTTGTTTGAGAGGAAAGGAAAAGAATTTTGGCGTGTGGGAAGCGGCTTATGAACCAAGCGAGTATCACGTGAATTTGCGAGGTTTGCACTGGATCGTGGGGAAGTGGTCACGGGTTAGTCATCCACTCAGTGGCTTTCCAGCTTCTATGGTTCGTTGGCCGGGCCGAGCCGGTTGGATCTTGTTGCGACTACGGCGGCAACACTAGGTAAGCTAAGGTAGGTAATCGAAAGACCATTCCTCTTGAGGTAACGGTACATTTTAGCTGCTGGACACTGAGATGCTCGCGACACTGGGTTCAATTCTTGGTGTTGCCGTCACTCGCGCTTACACTTGAAATGACTCCGGAGTAGGGCACGGTATATCTGATCGGGCCCTAATCGGAGCAAGCCCTTCCCTCCCTCCAAGAGGTTCAATTGAACTGTCCCCGTCCGTGGTACGATACAACATATCCAGATGCTCAATGGCGTAAACACCGCGCATGTTCGTTGGCTCGATCTCATCACAGACGCAGCTGAAGCACAGCATTATCTGAAGACGTAGTGATCTCTTGCATAGTACTTGAGAAATATATATTGACGCTGTGTGTCGGCCTTGCCTTGCAGTGCAGTGCATAGTGGCCACAGAGTTGACTCGTTACACTGCGAGGAGCTCTGCACAACCTGCCTCTTCTGGCATCACATGACGGCGGTGGCTCGACACCACAGCTCCAACACCGAGACCGTGGCCGATTGACATCACTGCACCTTGTCAACACTGATCCATTAGCTGACCTGCAAGAACTCCATCGACCATGAACTGGACCGGAGGACGTCTCCGACGTCATGCTGCTATTCACGCAAAGAGCAGAAAGCAGAAATTCAAGAAGCAAAAGACAAGTAGAGACCTCATAGCTATGGGAACTGCGCTTCTCGACCTACCAGCGGACTGTCCTCGGCGGTCGCCGGGGCAGGTGAGTATATCCCACCATCGGCACGAGGTCATGCAGGACAACTAATAATGAGATTGCACAAGCGTAGCAGGGAAGTCTCTCCAGCCTCCGTCGCCGAGAGTCACCACAAACCCTCCAACGATAAGGAAGACTCGCAGCCCCGCCAGCGTCTGGACCGCCTCCGACGCGAGCTCCTGAAAAAGCCCGATTGGGCCGCCGTTGCCGCAGCACGGCCAATCCAGATTGCATTCCCCACTCCAGAGTCGCTGGCAAGGTTTGGCAAGCGGAGAAAGATAACGGAGAGTGATCGGACGAGACTGGGCACTTCTGGCTCGCGCTCAGCCCATGTTGTACGGCATAGCAAGCGCAAGGATTCTCCCATGGAGGCGGTGGGCTTCTCACAGATGAGTCTGAGGATCAACGGCAAGCGGGTGGTGAGAAGAAGTACGGACTCTGGACCGGATCAACCAGTCAATACGTCTTCTCAGTCAATGCTGCTGGACAGCGACCGACCAGCCTCCACCAATCAATGCGCGCAGGCGCATTCACCTCAGAGTTTCGATGGCAGTGATGTCTTTCAAGACAGCTCGCTTTTGCTCGAAAGTAGCAAGCCGTCGGTGGTTGCACATCCAACATCCTCGGTCCTCGACTACGACTCGTATGCTCCGAATTCAGAAAGCGTCATATCGAACATTGGAGTGGATGGATACCTGGGACCACTTGAAGATTCTCAAAGTCTGCGGCCATACTCGAGTAGACCTATTAGTCCTAGCCTGCAACTGCAGGGAGCCGCACGTGTTAGATCGAAGAGTGTACTCGAGCAAGATCTACTTGGACGTGAGGACTTGCGACCATACCGGAGTAGAGATACGAGCCCTGATCGGGAATCAATGGTTCGGCGACGTTTCACCATCGATGATCAGATCGACGCTGAACGAGAGGGTAGATTGACACTGCCCTGGAGTCATCAGTCCAACAAGAACGAATTGAACACCAGAACCTGGTCACCTCTGTCAGTTGACTCAGACGGGCGGACAATGGAACATATGTCAGCTACTGTGCCGCCTCTTCATGAATCTGCCTGGCTTCCCGAACCACGTCTGCGACTGGAGAAAGACAGACACAAAACTGACACGACGAATCTCAGATCACGAACAAGACCTACCACATGCTACAAACATGTCAGACATGATTCATCGCTCAAGGTATATGGGCAAACCGTGCCGCTCGATTGGGAGTCTCATCGCCAGCCAACACAAGCTCCAGCATGGGGTTCAATGAAAATGGCAAAAGGGCTATCGTCCTACAATCCACCCAGCGTGGGCACGCCACAGAGATCTCCAACGTCGGAAGCCGCTCTCAGCCCGGGCCAATTCAGATTCACTAATCCCAGACCAGAGCCCAAACCTACCGTAGACTACCGACAGTCTACCTTGCCCTGGAGAGCGACTGGCCCGTCCACTCGACACAGACAACCAGTCCATACCTCTGGCCTCGTTCTCTGACGAATGACGAAGGCCATCAGTTTGTTGCATTAACAGCAGTCCGTAGTCAGTAAAAATGGAGGTAGTGTGGTACACCCTGATCATAAATATCATCCAGGAGCAATACCGAAGCATTCTTTAAAAAACACTATGTATAAATTTACAGCTTAAGCTCGGAGCATCGCAAATCTAGTACGCACCCTGCACAACCAACCCCGGCCGTCTCTCGCTCCCATCAGCACCAAGACCGGCCTCGACCCCGACCTCGAGCTCAACGGGCCCCAAAAACTCCCGAACCACCCTCTCAAACACCTCCTCCCCAATCTCCATATGTCTCCCAGGCACGGTCCGAAACACCAAGGCCCCCTTCTCATCCAACTTCCGCAACCCAAGCCAATCCTCCTTGTAGATCTGTCTATCCCTCAGCCCCACAACCACGCCGTCAGCATCCACCTCCGCAAACCACGCCGACTCCTTGGGATGAACAACCCCATCATCCTCAAACATCAGCATAACAAACTTCTCCAGCGAGCTCAAATTCTCCTTATACGTCTCATTCTTGACGTCACGCTCATTATTCACATCCGCCAGGAAATTGCTGTGCTGGAGGTAGAGCTCCATCTCCGATTGTTGCCGTTGCTGCTGAGCCCCCAGTTGCGCCTCCCCTTCCCCCTCAAGCCCCCGATCACCCAGATCCCCCACCTCCACCTCCATCTCACCAGCCCCAGCCCCAGCCGCAGCCCCAGCTCCACTCCCAGAGCGAGAAATAGAATCCTCGACCCCGGCCTGCGGCCGAAAATACTGGCCCGGCACGAACCCGCCCTGCACGACCCCACTCCACCGCCCAGCATGCAGCAGCGCCTCAGCCCCCAAACAGACCAGATCCCCCCAGCGACATGCCTGAAACTGGGAGATGCCGTTATGCTGGCTGCCGAAGGTGATGAGGGTGCGGACGGGCGGGGCGTTGCAGCGCTCGACGTAGGCGCGCAGGAACTGGCCGCCCTGGGAGAAGCCGATGGCGTTGACGGCGGGGGCCGTCGACAAGATCGGGTCGGCGGCGAGCTGGGCGCAGACCTCGGCGATTTGCGTGGTTACATTGCCCAGGAAGGTGTTGCGGCGATCGGTGGCGGCGTCGTCGCCCAGGTGGATGAGGTGCGTGTAGGTGCCTTCGTGGATTCGGTTGACCACGTCCGACAGGCTGGTGAGGGAGGGGTTCGTGTAGGTGTCGCCCAGGCCGTGCCAGATTATGAGCGGGAGCGGGGTGAGGTCTTTTTGGGTGTTGGGGGCGGCCCTGGAGGTTGGGGAGGTGAGGGCTTGGGGGAGGAGGAGTGGGAGCGAGAGAATGGCTTGGAGGAGATGCATTTTCGTCGGTTCCCTTCGGAGGAAGGGTGGGATTCTTGAGATGAGGAGAGGAGAGAAGAGAAGTATGTTGGAGATGACGAGGGTGAAACTGGGTAAGGGTAAAGCAAGGTGAGTTGCGGTGGTTGCAGGTCGAGGTTGCGACGCGCTTTGGTCGGGCTTCTGACGTAAGGCGGTAGCTGATCCCGCGGCGCTAAGTCGGTTCCTGAGGAGAGAATCTGGGGAAAGTGGAGTCAATACCTACTGCATTGTACGTTGTAGACTTATAGCATTTACTGAGTACTCATACAATACTCTCTGTATGTGAAATTGGACAGAAGCCTACTCTGCGATCCGGTGATGAATTCCGCACTCCTATACATTAAGTCTCTCTCTATCCAATGCACACGAATTAGCTCTTGTACTCGGTACAGCACACCTCTCTCTATACATCAAATACAACATAGGAAAATATAACAATGAAGGTAACAGGTAGGATGGTATATTCAAGCCCCGCAATCATGAGACACACACAGTAAGAAGAAAAAAGATTGACATGAAGAAACTAATACGGGGGACGTCCGATTCCTCCGCTGATGCCCCGTCGACCAAGACCTCCACGAGCCCTTGCACCCCCCGGCCTCAATTCAGCATGAGCGGGCGAGAGGAACCCCTCCAGAAGTTTGGTCACCTCGCGGCGCGGGTCGGAATTCGGAAGAGCGTCCCCGTCAGCAGCTTGTGCCGCCAGACCGGTGCTCGATCGACTCTTGTGCTTGCTGAGGGATTTGCCATGGTGAGGCAAGGCGGGCGCGACGGCCTTCCCGTTCACAGCCGCTTGTCCACGCGGCCCTGGAGCGGTCGAGGGTCTGTCGGAAGCCAATGAACGTTGCGACTCGCTAGCGAGGTTCCCCGTGACGGACAAAGACGGCGGGATCGGAGGGACAGGAGGAATATCCTCGCGAGCCATATAGTACATCTGCGAGCCCGCAAAAGAAGATGTTGATGCTTTCGGAGTCACCGTGTCTCCGTCCTGGCCGTCGCGCGATTGATGACGGATTGAGATGCCGTCTGCGTCGAACTCCGACAACGAATAGCCGCTGACCATGCTCTCACTGCTCGATGAGACAACGCTGCGGTTGGAGGCATCAAGTCGGCCTCTGAGGGGGCTGAGGCGCCGGAGTTTCTCTTGATCATTGATCGAAAGTACGCGTCTCAGTTCATTGACATGCACGGGAGACTCCCGGCTAGAACTGTTCACCCGAACTCGAGCGGATTCCGGAATGCTCATCCGACGAGGGTTGTGCAGACCAGCTGCAACTTGCTGGCCGGATTTGGGAGATGTGGTAGAGGGAGGGCTGCTCTCGGTCGGATTCATGTTGAAATGATTGCGAATCGCTAGGGTTCCGGCTCTCGACCCATTCATAGATATGAATTCTGCCTTCTCTCGCTCGGCAGCGGCCAGGCACAATTCACGAGTCCAAGCCGATAGCATTTGCTCGCGAGCTGTGGAAGGTAGGAACTGTCTCTGTGGGCTGCCCTGAAGGCCTGACCCTTGTCCCAGCACTGGTAAAGTCGGGGCACGCCCTGGAGAGGAAGGGGGGCTGGTGGTGGCACTCTGTACAGAGAAGTTGTACGAGTCCTCGATACAACGAACGAGCTCCTCCGCCTCAGTGAACGGTGTAAGCTGGTTGGCATCCCCCACGTAGTTACCGGCACTGTTAGTGCCTTGGAGGATAGTCTCCAGACTTGCTGGGGGTAGGTGAATGTGATCAAGCCAGAGACCAAGCTTCTGCCTCTTGACGACTTCGTTCTGTATATCTCTGCCCACTTTAGTGGATTCCAAGTCGAATTTCTCCGACACCGCCCACAGATATCCATACACCAGACTACCAATGTTCATCCTTGCAGTGACTGACTGCAGGGACTCGACAGTGCCCACATCTTCTTGGAGCTTCAACACCATAGGAAGCCCGAAGCGAATGGCATTCACTCCCAAGTTATCGACAAGGCTTGCCAGTAAAAGGTGCAACAGCCGCATCTCAGCAACCTGTGTAAAAGACTCAAGTGCGATGTCATAAACGGCCAAATGTAGCAGCCGGAGGAAGTTGTGCTGGGCCACCAATATGGACTTCTCCCTCTGATTCACGCCCATGGAAGCGGTCCGTTTGCCGCTCTTCTCGATGTCAGACATCTCTCGTCTCAGATTGTGGGTCTTGCTGGACTTGTCGTTGACCAACAGATCTTGCTGATCGGTCTCCAGCTTGAGCCAGGTCAGGAATGCGTCTGCGTACGCATAACGAACCTCGTTCTGGGACTCCTGTAACAGCCATTGCGTCCCCTCCCAGACATGAATACCCACTTTGTTTCTTGTTTCGGCGCCAGCTGCGGCCGCGGCTCTCCGGGAATTCGCCACCAGCAGGATGTTCTTAATGGCCCGAAGGGCTGTAATCTTGGCAAAAGCAGACGCAAAGGCAACGAAGTTGCTGTCGCCCGAAACACTTGGCGCCTGAGAGCGCGCCCCGGGAGAGTCGGTCTGAGATGAGTTTGGCGGCTGGTCAGGAGAGATTACAGGTTTGACGCGAGTCAAGATAGCTCTGATCATGTCAACAACCTGGTCGCCATAATATATGTGAGTGGCGAGGTCTCCAATGCACCTCTCGAGGAGAGAGAGCTGCTCCCTCCTTTTGGCGGACGGTTCTACCACCTTTTCCCCTCCATGAGAAGATAGCAAGAACGACATATGCTGTAGAAGGCCCAACAAGATATCAATAACACTCAAGCCAATCATGTTGACCGGTGATTTCAGCAGCCAGTCAATCATGAAGATAACAACAAATGGCTCGCCCAAAGTCTCGTCGCTAAGCTTCATGTCCATCAAAATCTGCATCATAGTCACTGGGATGATGAACCGGACTTGAACAGGACACCACTTGGCGATGATTTCCACCAGCGAGGTAGCCCAGTTCTCCCGGGTGTCCAGTGTGAAGCTCGTGTTGCTAGTGGGGATCTTCCGAAGAATAAACTCCAGCGCAATTTGAGTAGTGACTCGAATCTGGCCGCGGCTGCTTCCACTAACGACAATGCGCTCGAGACAGCGGAGGGCGAGAAGCCGAACGTCCAACTCGGCCTTCTTGTCTGCGTCGGCTGCGGACTGCGATGCCAATACCGGATCACCGTTGGCTGTGTCAACTGTCTGCACGGTCGCGGTGCTGACGCGCCGTTTGTGGGCGAGCTCGGTGTCTGCCTTTTCTGACTGCTCAAGCAGATGTTCGAGCGAGGTCACTAAATCCTCATCTCCTTTGCAAAGATTCTCGAGTATGATCGGCATTGTAATTCTCAGCGAGTCGCCGCCATCGGCCGCCAGGCCCGTCTCGGAGCCGACCACGCCCTTGATCGCGCGCAGTCCCGCGTTCCTCCACCGTAAGGCCATGGGCAGACTCGGAGCGAGAGCATTCGCCTGAGAGGACGGCTCGACCTCCGCAAAGCTCGCATATGTACGTACCACCTCGCGGTACTGTGTTGCGAACTCAGGCTCCGCTGTCAGTGCTGCCACATCCTGATGGCTGCAGAAGGTTTCAAAGGTAGTGATGGAGTCCTCGACGATTGTGATATCACGAGAGCGAAGGACGGTTTCCAGGATTGTCAGGACGGATCGGGCGTAGATAGGGAGGTCGCGGGGGACTTTTTCGATAAGGGCCGTAAGGATCTGGAGCGTGACCTGCACATTGCTACTCGAGATCAGTCTCTTCTTCACTATTGATGCAGGAGAAATAACATCCACCAAAGCACATTGTCACTCATTGTCGCTCGAACTTACCCTGTCTTGCGACGCCAGACATCGCGAGCGGCTCGTTTCTCCAGGAAAGCGCCAACCTTGGTCAGCTTGCTGCGGCGAGTGCTGGCGTAATAGAGCAGATAGGACAGTTCACTGGGATTGGGCTTGACCTCCTGCACCCCTTTCTGGTATTGTGGATAGCATTTCAGCACCAGGACCTGGTGTTTCGGCCGGCAGGACTGGCGCACGCCCTCCATTGGTGTGAACTGCGGCAACGGGTGCCCAAATCTCGGTATATGAGGAATTCCAGGAAAGGAAAGGGATTGCGCAAATTCCGTCGCAATATCAGGCGATACACCCAGGGAAGTGAGGACTAGACAGACTAGCTAAGGTGTGCTTGTCTATGAATCGACCATCCAGGAGGTTCAGCGGAGATTGCGTTAGTAAGAGCCTTGATCGGGTAACGGTCAACGTGGACCTTCGAAGGGCTGAGTGAGAGAGATCAGAAAAGAAAGGGATTACAAGCGGGGTAACGCCAACGAAATGAGTAAAAGCTAGAAGTACACAATGAACAGTGAGCAAGACTGAGCAGCAGCCGAAACAAGGGCCAGAGCTGAGTGGTTGGGCTGGCAGAAAAGCGAGGCAGAAGCGAGAGAATCCACCCCTCGGATGGAGTGGGAAAGACGGCGATAAGTTCAAAGGTAGAGTGAATTACTAGTTGACGCGGCGGGCGGCGAGCGGCGGAGGAGTTGAATCCACTCCAGAGGTTCGGGAAAATCAGCCCCGTCCGCCGTGACTGTACGGAGTGCTGTACAGTACATTAATTATGCATGCATGGACCATCTCACAGCAAGATACGTCCTAGACTGAGAAGTTATCATTGAAACCAATAGCTTTGATTGATTGACTGATTACAACACTGCTAAGATGTATGTGCATGTCATCGCATCGATCCGAACAATTAATTGGTGATGCTGTTCCTTTCGTTTCTTTTTTCCCCCTGCAACCCAACCCCACGGCAACGTCATCGACTGCTTCCCAGGCACCGTTCCCCAGCCTCTGGTTCGAGGACGGGAAAATAGAGACTGTGAACTAACCTCACATAGTGTCATACGTGCAGTACAATTTCTCGATACGAGAGTGTTCCCCTTCTGATCTATCTTCTCACACGAAGAACACCCAGCGACATCGGCTCGCATGGAACCGAGCACGGCATTTCCGGAGCAGATCTCGATCGTCCCAATTCTGAGACTTTCAAGTCTGGTCGCCGAAATGTGGAGTACGTTTCCTGACTGGCCCCTTTCTTCTTGACACATAGCACCCAGAAGATCAATCAGGGTCACGAGCCAGCCACAAAACCGCCTATGGCTGTGCGACCGACCGTCTTGTACTGTACTGTACCTCGGTCACACATGACACCGCAGCACCCATGGTTCGCGAATCGCCGTTGTGTGAGCAGACTGAGTGAGCCCCTTATATCCTCCCCAGGTTTCTCGCAAGCGCGGTACGTATCCCACACGAACCACCAGTCACCCTCTCCTGTTATTCCTCGATCCTCATGCAGATGATTTCAGGGTACGGGTGTGTCCCTTCCCAAGCCCCGCTCACCGAAACCTCAGCTCCCCTTACCATCCTGCTGTTCTGCCTGATCTCGCTGTTGCTCTTCGCCCTGAGCTTTGTCCCCTTCCACTGCCTGCTCCGGCAATCCATTGCCCGCCAGCGCCTCGACAACATCTGGGCGGATCACATCGCGCCGGAAATTCTCCTCCTGCAGCAGCCGCAGAGCCCGTAACGTAGCCCCCGGGTGGGTTAAAAACTGTGCATATTCCGGGGTCTTCCAGTAGGAGTAGAGGTAGGCGAGGTAGGCGGCGAACGCAGCGGCGTCGGGGTCGCGAGGGGTCGCGGTGTCTTTGTTGTCGGTCGCGTCCGTCTCGTCGGTGGACTGGCTGATGCCCAGGAGATTGGGGTAGTTGACGGCCAGATGGGAGAGGTAGTAAGGATTGGCGAGGGAGGAGACAAATTCGAGCTCGAGGGTGAAGCGTGGGTTGGTGAGGGTTGGGGGCGGCGGTTGTTGCGGGTTGGTTGGGTCGGTGGGTGGTTGTTGTGGCTGGGCCATGGTTGTGCGTTGGAGGGATTGGGTTCGAGAGTAGAGAGGTGTCACGGAGTTCGATGGTATCGATCAGAGGTCGTAAGCTGGCCGGATGGTTTGAGGGTGGAGGGGAGAGAGTGACTGTGCAGTGCAAGCTTGATTCGGCGCTGGGGAGTGGCAGACGTTGGCGGCACGGGAAGGTAAAAAAGATGCCAAGCATCCATGGGTATACGCCAGACCCACTTTCCCCCACTCCAAACTGGACGAGCTGTCAATCTGATGTAGATTCAGGCACAGTCCAATCTACTCCAGGGGAAATCCGTTTCAATCGATCTGGAGCATTTCTATGACTAGTCACTTCGGAAATCTCCCGAATCGCAAAGGGTCGCTCCTGGAGAACTTATCTGATGCGAATGATACAGAGCCCTGGTCTGACATGACCTAGCGACCTGCGATAAGTCTGCCTTACCACGCGAGAATTAAATGACAGGTGGGCATTCAGATCAATCTCATACCTATATCATCAGTGCTATAGAGATATAGTGGTCTAAGTTGTCCCAGGTTGCTCTGCAAGCCGATCCACATATGCCATGTTTCCAACAATCACGAGCTCGTCGCCCCGACCATTGAAGCTCGAATAGATCTGAGTGACTATCTAGTTCATGACCGAGACACGAACCGAGTCAGGGCCCTGCTGGAACAGTGCTCAGACTGCACTGCTATCGATAGCAGACTGCACCAAGTCCCCCACCCGACTCTCCGTGTTGACCCCCCAACAGTTGAGATAAGAAGCTTGTCGCCACAGCCTCTTTAACTCCCTTGGCCGTTCTTGACAGCACTGATAGACCGAAGGAGGATTGAACGACCTTATCCTGTCATCAGTGGCTAGTCCGGATGGCTGCAGAGGCTTACTGGGCCCTCGAGCAACGTGCCTGACAGAGGCCGTTAGGCTGTGGATTCATTGAGAGCTGTCTTTAATGACTACAAGGTGGAGGTCTTCGTGTGCCTATTTCAATTCGTGAGTGTGAGGGCTATTGACGCAGACCAGCTTACTACTGTGTTCATTCATATAACATGTCTACTAGGCCTCTGTGGCAGGTAAGTGACTATACCACTAGATGACAAACCGGTGCCCATTATTGATGCAACAGCCGACATCCCCGGTAGCTCAAGATGGGTTGAAATAGAGTGACTCTATCAATGTAGCAGCCAACTAGCTCATTTAGAGAGGGAACAAATGCATTGACTTATTAGTCAGTCCGCAGTGTGTTGCCATCAGAATCCGGCATCCCTGGTTGTCTTACATCATCGTCTGTCTGCACCCGGAGGAAGATTGTTCGGATGACAAGAACATTACCGGCGTCACCACCCTGGAAAAGCACTGGGCTAATGTCTCATGTATGGCTTGTAAGCTTTTTCCCCTAGAGTGCACATCCTGGATTCTGTTCATGTTGCTTTTAAGTCCCTCCAACCTGATTTCACGCCCCCAGACCCCACCGACTGCGAAAAAATCGGATATACCCAGCGACCTCGGCTCTCCTGCATTCCTGCAGTCGAGGCAGCGACCAAGTAGCCCATGCATCTGGATGACACCCGAGCGCAAAGAGCTTGCTTGACAACCTCATGACAACATAGCCCAGTCAACTCAAGCAAACACCATGTTGTTTTCGAATTCGACCGGTCGCTTATCTTCAGCCTATCCTGCTCGTTCATTCAATTCACTAACTCGAGGTCCACCTTGATGTACATTATTTAGGATCCGTAGGATTTCAGCAGGAATACAAATCTGAAACGGTTTGCCCAACAAGATGCATCAAGTAGCCACTTGCTTCTGTGTAGCACGAGTAGGCAACCCACCCGTTCCGGCGCCCTTATTCAACCCCAACCCTATCCAGATTGAGGTGAGCAAGAAAAAGCAAAAAAATGACATCAGAAAAAACCTCCCAGGAAGAAAAGAATAAGAAAGAAAAAGCAAAGAGGGTATGCAAGTAAGCAAAGACACATACGTTAACAGCCACTAAAAATAGTGGAGCTGAAAGGAAACCCGGGGGATCTGGGCGAAGTGAGACCCCATGACGATATGCCCGGTTTAGTTACTCAGTACCGGTACAGGTAGTTATGTGACTATGTCATGTCTCTGGACCTTGACATGGGGGTAAACGTCACCGGCACTGACAGCGAAGCATGCCATCGGATGCGGACACATATTCTCACAAAGTCTTTTTGATCTCGTTACAGTTGATCTGGGTGTCTCCCTCTCTTCAATCAAGGTTAAGACAAGGGGGAATGAAAGCCACCGTGTGGGTGGCTGCAGTGCCTTTTTGTCTTGTGTAGAAGGTATCTTACCTGCCAAGGATTCGAGTGGAAGGACAGGAACATTCCGTAGCATGTATGAGAGAGAGAGAGTGTGTGTGTGCCTGAACGCCCGGGGAGTTTTCTGCGCGGGAACACGCGTGTGATGAGCCGACCGACCCTGTTCCCGTCCGCGCGGTTCGTGCAGGGGGAAGATCGGCCGGGTGACTTGGCAGAGTCCTGGAAAACCCACCTTTGGAGTTGGAGGAAGGGAAGTTAACACTGTGAGTAGGGATGAGATGGGATGGAGGGGATATGGAGATTTGCCAAGGTGTCTCATTGATGGGCCGGCCCTGAAGAAGAGGTGCATTGGATGATTACGATGCGGAGAGGCGAAGAGGGAAGCGATGATGCGATGATGCGATGATGGATTATGGAATAGTCTATACTGTACTTCGGACTCGGTTGGTATTGTAGGCATTATTGATTAGGCAAGTGGTGGGCAATAGCCAGCCAGGGGTAAGATCATCATCGGCGTGTCTATCGCTCTGTCGATCCGGATTGATCGAGGGCACCCAGGCATAAGGAAGGGCATAAAGAAGGGCCACATTCCAGAGGGGCAGCGTTGACGCAATGGCAAATGCACATATGACAATATTCATAAGCAGGAGTAACTAGTTAGTAGGAGTCGTGAAGAGCGAAGCTCCCACTAGTTGCTGGCTTGCAGGATCCGATGTGGCTCAAATTGATCTGATTCTGGGGTCACTAATCAACCCGTGGAGAGCAAGAACGTTTTGGTCAATTGTTAAATATTAATAACCCCTGAAGGGTGGAAGGAGAGAGACATTATCACGATCAATCCATAACGTTGATGATTAGTTACCTAGTAGACAGTGAGACACATACACTGCATACATACTACATCTTTCTCAAGTAATACTACCTGCTTCTCTTCTCGTGCTCGTTTTCTACCCTCTCCCCTCCTCTCGCTCTTTCTGATACTGAATGTATTGTATATGTTAGTTAGTAACGCTATTACTATTGACAATTTGACATACACTTACCACTACTAATTCTCGCCCCCCTTTTTGCATGTCAAATTAAAATCCCCCAATAACCGAAGCCAAAAGCTTCTCGCCTTCACTCCACTTTTTTTTTTTTCCTTCTTCCCCTCCTCCAGTCCTCCTCCACCCCCTTTCAGTCGATGAACCGTGGTTTACTGCATCGGACCAAACTATAGTTAGCCGTGACTCTGGATATTTCCCCAGGGGCAGTAGTCAGTTACCAGCACCAGCACCAACACCACCAGCGACAGCACCATCCGAGTTACCCTCTATTCTTCCCTTCCTTCCCTTCCGTCCGCTTCCTTCTCTTCGTCTTTCCTTTCTTCTCCTTCTTCTTCTCCTCTTCTTCTCTCCCTCTCTCCTCTTCTCTTCTCTTCTTCCTCATCTTCTTCTACTTCCCTCCCTTTCTCACTTTGTTCCCCCCCCACCCCTATATCCTCCTCTTCATCCTACCGGTTGTGACTCCTATTCCAACCCCTCCAGGCTACTCTTTAAACCCCCCCACCTTATTCGGGAATTAAATAATTCCACAACTGGAACAATTTGATCACTTAGCACCTTCCTCCACCAACCACCTCCCATCAAGCAGAAAGCAGCCACTGGCAAGAATCAGGGCCAATCACTTCTGCATTTAAAATAAAAAGATTAAGGATTCTCACATTCCTCCGTGCAAGGTCTTTTCTTCGACCTCGACCTCGACCTCGACCACGACTACGACTTGACGGACCGACGGACGGACACCCTACGTCTTGTGCTGCGCTCCTTTTAATTCCCCCCTCCAATAATCCCCTCCTAAATCGTCGGCCGCGGCATCGCTGTTTCAGCAACGCCTAAGCTTACTCTAGTTTGGCGTTGGTCCTCGCATTCTCGACCCTCCCCTGATCATCCACCATCCACTTACCTCCTTATCTTTGGATGTCTCTTTCCTCCATTCCCCAATCAACTTCCTCGACTGTTCCTGCTCTCGACCTCGCATTGCGTGGACTTTCGCAACCATGAATGCCTCCCAGTATTCCTCAACCTACTCCTACCCACCCGGCGTGACGCTGGGCCCGTCAGGTGCGTCATCTTGCTGATTTCCGGTTTCTGCTCCTCTTCCTCGTTGTGTCTCACACTTAAGTCGTCATCTCGTTGCCGTTTCACCTTCGGCGGGGCCTTTCCCCTGGGCCAGAATGTTGCTGTCTTGTCAAGAATGTGGTCTTATTTCAGACCGTGCTTCCCCCGGTCGCCCGTTCGTTTCTCTGATGCTAACTTTATTTCTGCCTCTTCGCAGCCCCCGTCGTCCAACACGCGCATGCGCCTTCCTTGGGCTCCAACAATCCCTTTAGAAACCGAGCGCTGTCTCCTTCTGCCAGTTCTTTCTCTTCCGCTGGCCGACCTGAGCGACCGACCTCGACCAACCCATTTGACGACCTCGATTCGCCACATTCTGCCCCTATCGGAGGAACCATGGTATCTCCGGTCGGAAGTCAGGATATGACTTCGAACACACGCGACCTCTTTGTACGTCCTTCTCTGCTTCCTTACTGCGTCGCCGCGAATACTAATCAGGGGATGCTTCGCTCAACAGGAAAACCTTTCTCTTAACCCTGCCGCGCAACCTGCCGCGCAACCTGCCGGCTATAGGCCCACCCCACCTCGTCCGGAGAAGCCTGCACCAACTGGATACTCCAGCGAGCGAAGGGATCGCCCCGAGCGCCGCACACGCGACCCATTAGATATTTTCGCTGATCCTCCGCGAAACGGCAGCGGTCCCCGGCCCAGTGGCCGAGACCGACCACGTCCCCGTCGCAACTCCGAGTCATCGATCATGGAGCGCCCGAAACACGTGGACACTGAGGAAGAAAGAAAGCGCCGGGAACGAAGACGGAGAGAGCGGGAGGCTCGTGGAAAGGAGGGCAAGGATGGCAAGCCTCGCTCGTCGTCCTCGAAGAAGAACAACTACCAACTTGACATCATCGATAAATTGGATGTGACTAGCATCTACGGAACAGGAAGTAAGTGAAAAAACCGGTCGAATCATGATAAAATTACTAATGTTCAGCAGTGTTCCATCACGATGGACCGTTCGATGCTTGCAACCCGAATCGCAACCGCAAGGGCGTGCGCACGGCACCTATGCAGGCCTTCCCGAAGGACTCCGCCAACATGGCCTTGGGAGGCTCCGGACCGAACAACTTGGATATTGATCACAATCTGTTCCACGGAAGGACTGAGGAAGGCTTCAATGATTTCGCGGCCAGCGCGAGAAGCGAACCTCGCAGGGCTGACAACCCCCCCAACTTTGACCCTACTGCTCGCATTGAACCTGTTCACGGATCGGAGAGTATGGGACTGGGAACCAGTACGTTCTTGGAGGGTGCTCCTGTCAGCCAAGCGGAGCTTCAGCGCCGGGGAACTACCTCGGAAGGCTCGGGCGGCGGTATGAACGGAGGTGGTCTTCAGCGCAAGAAGAGTTTGGCACAAAGACTACGGGGCATTAACCGTGCTCCTAGTGGCCGCTCTCCGGAAGCCACTTACAGCCCGCCTGTCCCTGCCGGACACATCGGTACCATCAAGGCCAACGAGAAAAACCCTTTCTTCCAAGATTACGACGATGCGTGGGACAAGAAGGGCGCTCAGATTACTTCCTCTGAGGAGGCGCGGGACCCTGTGGGTGGACGGGCGCGTTCTTCGAGCAGCCCCAAGCAGAACACGGGATTGGAGCGGAGATTTACAAACGAACGGTCTTACGGTGGTTATGACGAGAACAAGAATGCCGGTGGTGGCGGTGGTGGCTTCATCAATCGCATGAAGAGTCTGCGGAAGCCCCGGCCCGAGCGGCGCGTCACCAACGACTGAGCAAGGAGGTGATCTTTTCATGTAACCCGGTTTCATCGTGCACTCTGTGTGGCCGGAGTAATCATTTATCGGTGGACACCGCGCTGGCAGCACATCCATCCCCATATCCCCCTCAGGGCGCAGAGATTGCTTTCAACAGGAAATGGCAGCATGAGAGCGTTGATGAAATGGAACCATTAAGGAAGCATGAGACCCAATAGACTGACGTAACTTGAAAGAGACGGCAATCTTCGAGCGCGACCATCCATGGGCAACGCGAGACAGCAGATGACGGCTTGGCTTCAGCCTCATTGAGCGAGACCGGAGTTGGCGAAGAGGTGGAGGTTATCTTTGTTGTTGAAGAGTGTATGTATTACATCAGTCAGATGAAAGCGGTTGATCAGGGTGTCCGGATGTCCTGTACTGGCCTTGTCTGCCAAGCAAGTAACAAGCATGGATTTCTTATGGATTACTTCTTTTCTTTCCCAATCCAATTAACCCTTCTTCCAACGTTCCCAGTTTGTGTTGCCCCTTGCAGCGATTGTGTTCTTGCCAATTACTTTCACAGCTTTTAGCCAAAACGAAGATGCAAAGTTCCGCTTAAGCACTACTCCCTCTCTCCAATTGTTGCCTTTGTTTACCCGCTTCTGAATGGAGACATCCACAATCAAGCATCCTGCAGCTTATGTAGTTACCTTGATGCTATCTTCTTATCACCATAGGTTATTCTCTGCTGGCGCTGGGGGTGATAACTATTGAACTACACCCTAGGGGGGTCTTCAGCACTACAAGAAATACTTTTCCCTTGCCAAGGTGCACAGGATGGCCCTCTCCGCGTACAGTACATTACGATCTGTTGGACAAGACAATCTTCCGCTTGACAATTGAGTACTGTGCACACATCTACATTTTGAAATGATATTCTACTCCCCCTGATCTGGTAAGACATCGCGCCTTGCGATGTTGATCTACACAGTTCCGACTTTCATGCTGCAATGTGGATACTTATTCGGTGTGACTTAAGCCCTGAGGATAAGAAAAAGATTTTCATAAGTTGATGAATAAGGTAAGGTAACTAAGTAAGGTAGGTAGGTAGGTATATGTCTGCTCCTCTCCGGGGAATACTTCCCATATCACATCACATCGCATCACATCGCATCACAGATATTTCAACAACAAAAAAATAAGATAAAAACCCAAGACCCCCCCCTATTTCCCTAATGAATCAGAAACCCGAACTCCCCCTCGCCGCACGCATACTAGGAAAATTCATGACGGTGAAAATGTGAAATGCAAAACGTTGCCCGCAAGAACTTGTTGATAACATCGATAGATCGTTTCATCCCGGTGTCCGGGTATTCCAGACTTTAAATCCCGCAGGGGAAAAAGAAGAGGGGAAAAAAAAAAGAGAAGGAGGTGCTGTGTCGTGGAGATACCCTCGCTGAAAGCTTTTCTTTCCTTAAACGCAGCCCCGGATTTGTGAAGGGGAGGGAAGGAATAGGAAAAACAGGCGGGAATCATTCGGACGATTAACATCGAAAGCAGACCCTCTACCGGGGCCGAACGGACGACATTCTCGGGCGGAATGGGTCCGGGGCGGGGATGCCTGCTTTGCGACGGGATTGCGGCTTGGGTCGGGAGAGGGTGTACCTAATTGGAGAGAAATGGGGTTAGTGATTATGTTCTTCCTGACTTGTCCTTTGTAATCTGGAAACGTACTTGGCGAATGCACGAGAAAGAGCCTTCTTGCAGCTGACTTTTTGACTGCCGATGAACGAGTCGACGGTCACGGCGATGGCGCGGTCGATGTCCTGGGCGGAACAATACTCCGAGAGACGCATCTTGCAGAAGGATTCGGCGATACGCATGATGGCTTCGAGGTGACGGACCTGTTGGGGATGTTAGTTTGTTGTGCTGACTATTTCAAAGAAGAAGGAAAGCGTACGGTAATAGGGTAGGCACCCGTGGCCAGAGACTCACGGCGCATGTCGGCAAAGAGACGGGCGATCTTGTCTTGGTCGATCTGGTACAGCTTCGGGTGGCACCGTTCCCGGGCGTACAGGATGTACTTGCGGAGCAGCTCTTGCGGGATCTCACCCTCTTTCTCCTCCTCGCGCTTGCGGGCCTCGGCTTCGCGCGCGGCAAGCTCCTCCTGGGTGGGTGGGAGGCGTTCCTTGGTCTTCTTGTTGATGCGGTAGCCATCTTCGTCGATGGGGTGGCCGTCTGCGTTGACCAGGTTGCCGTCCTCGTCGCGGAGAGGGCGGGAGGGGTTGGCGCGCGAGTGCGACTCCACGACAAAGTTGGCCAGGCGCTCGTCCTCGGTGGGGTCAACCAAGTCGCGGACGACGCACAGGATATCAAAACGAGACAGGATGGGTTCGGTGAGTTGGACGTTATGCGAGAACGGGGCGGAGCTGTTGTAGCGGCCGCCGATTGGGTTGGCGGCGGCCACAACGGCACAGCGCGCTTGCAGCGTCGTGACAATACCGGCCTTAGAGATGGAGATCGTCTGCTGTTCCATGGCCTCGTGGATCGAGGTCCGGTCCTGGTCGTTCATCTTGTCGAACTCGTCAATCAGGCAGGTACCTCGGTCCGCCAACACGAGAGCACCTCCTTCCAGCGTCCATTCGCTGGTCAAGGGATCTCGCCGGACACTGGCCGTCAAACCGACTGCACTAGCACCCTGACCCGTGGCGAATACGGCTCGATGTGCCGTCTTCTCGGTGTACTTCAGGAACTGGGACTTGGCGGTACCGGGGTCACCAAGCAGCAGCACGTTGATATCTCCACGGATGGACATCTTGCCTTGGGCCTGCTTGCTGACTCCACCGAAGAGGGACAGCGCGATGGCGGTCTTGACGTCTAGGTGACCGTAGATACTGGGGGCAATCGAGCGAACGATCTTGTCGACAATCTCGGGGTCTCTGGACAGGGCGCGGATTTCTCGCTCATCCTCTTCCGTCAGGTGGAAACCAGCCAGCTGGTCGTGGGACTTGACGATGTGATTGGCCTCGATGATCGTGGCGAAGACGGGGAATCCGTTCTTGTTGTTGAGCTGCGCATCGTAGCTGTTGCGGTAGATACCGGTAACCTCGATTTCATCACCAGGCTTGGCCGAGTCGATAAGGTCGGCAAGAAGAACGATCTCGCGCTGGCGGGGGAGACGACCGGCGGGGACAGAGCCAGGGGATTCCTGCAGGGTCAACTTCTGGTAGTTGCGGTACACTGTCTTCTCGGAGTGAACGGTAAAAGGTCCCTTGGCCTGACAGTTCTGACAGAATGTGATCTTGACTTCCGCACTGGCTTCCTGTTGGAAGGGACCCAGGTGCGTCCTACACTTCCCGCAAATGAACATAACATATTTCATCTGAGGGAAGACGCCAGTGCGGCGAGTGACGACACCGCTGACACGCAGAAGGCAGTTGAGGTGGGACTGACGGAGTTGGCGGAGAGTGTAAATGACGGGGAGGTCCGTGATCCGGACATGAATCTCGTTGTGGATATCGTGGTATTGCGGGTAGTGGAACAGAGTCACATCGAGGGCAACTTGATCGAAGACTTTCAATACCTCGGTGGGCTCGTTGGCAAGGAAGTATGCAAGAGCAGCCTTGGTGTTGAGGAGGTGCACATAGCTGACCTCAAGCGATGCGGAGTTCACCTCACCAAGGGTCTTAATCTTGTTACCGTAGACGGAACTACCAGTAGGGTCGGTGAATTCCGTAAGGAACGCCTTGAACTCGCGGTAGATGGATCGCAGGACTTGAGGCTGAAGAACCCAGTCGGTGATGTTCGGAGCCTTGACGTCGGTCAACTCCTCCAGGGAGAGCTCTTCCATGACATCGTCGCCCATCTCAACGTCATCCCGATCCTCGTCGTAGTGGTGTCTGCGCCGACGGGGCTGACGAGTGAGATCGACTTCGGCATCTTCATCGTCCTGCAGGAAGGCGGCAGGCATGCGGCGACGGCGCTCCAGTTCCCGATCTCTCTTGTTTAAGCGAGCTTCCAGCTGACGACGAGTGGCCATATCCAGCTCCTCATGGTCGCCGTCGTCGTCGATGTACGTTCCGCGGTATTGCTGGTCTTGTGTGCTTCTGTAATCTTTCTCAAAGGTATCGCCGAACAAGTCAATGCCATCTTCATCTTCGGCCATCTCATCGAGATCGTCGATATCGCCCAGCATGTCAGCCTCTTCATCTCCCTCATTGTCATCCTCGTCGAAAGGGAGCATAGGAGGGGAAGAAGGGGGAGCTGTGGGAAGAGTTAGCATGCACACGGTGTCGATATCAAACACTCGGAGCATCTGAGACTTACGACTCGAAGGAGGGGCGACCGATGAAGTCTCATCATCGGGTTCTCTGTCTCTCTTGCGTCGACCGAGGTTTCCCAGGCCGCGATTTGCGGCGAAATGGCTTGGGCGTAGTGGTGAACTGAAGGGACATGATGAATATTAGTAAAAGGGGATCTGGGAGAAGAAGAGCGGTTGAAGATGAGACCATTCAAATATCGATGGAGTAAACATACCTCATTGTGTCTGGTGTTTCTGACCGGCAGTATGGGGGGTGGGATTGAAGGGATTACCGCACGGAGGTTGTAGTGCGGGCGCCTTTTTTTCATCCGTTGGCAGGGAAATCCATCAGGCGGTGTTGATGCGCGGCAGAAACGCGTCGGAGCGCGACCCAAACGCGTCCGAAAACCAATTAAACCCCCATCGGGAAAGGGAAGCGCCACCCACACAGGCGTTAGTCTACACTCTCCGGCTCAGGACTCCGTACTGTACCTATAATTATACCGTCTAGACCATTATGGGTACTCAGAAGTGACGGGAGAAAAAACCTATAGAGCATTAGCTCGTGCATAGTATAGTTGGATTAACTCTCTTTGCTACAAGATCGAGTCGAGTGGTCTGGATATTGCGGTGCAGCCGCATCACTCTACAGTAGCAGGGACTTCGCACACAGTACTGTACATATCAACTACATTGCTTTGAGGTACTGTGTTGGATTCGGGCTGTTAAGCTCGTATCTTTTCTTTCAGTAAAGCCATCATCTGGCAAGCGATATGAGCTTCAAGTAATTGTTCCGACTCCCGAGTAGCCGTCATCGAGCAGCAAGGTGAGGTCATGCAAACGAGGCAAACACTTGAATCGCCTTGCGCCGCGCGCTTCGAGCTTCCTCGAAGGCTGAGCAGAAGGATAACACCATTTGGCTTACCACAATCCTCTGCTTCAGCTAAATAAGTCTCACTCTCCGCTGATCCACGAGACGACTCACCGCAACTCAGACACAAGAACATGGCCGATCCAGAGGCATCCAAACCAGCCCCCAGCAATGGGCCGCCGAAAGACGCCCAGGCTGCCACCAACCGTCGCGAAAGCTTCAGCTCCCAGAACTCGCAGACTGCCAGACAGTGAGATTTTCGATTCTTTTTCGCACGGGATACGCTGTCGGAAAAATATGCAAAAATGAGATAATAGAGTACTGACGAGTCGTGTCCATCAGATTCATCGAGTCTCAAATTCGCCTCGAAGCTGACGCTCGCGAGATCCTTCCCTACGTGAGCTTGCCCTTTTAAATCCTAACCTGACAACCCGACGACGATGGATCGACTGTCGCATATTACAACCTGTACTGACAGGCGCAGTCTTTCGACACCTGCACCAAAGCCCTAGGTCCCCTCCGACAATCCCTCTTCGCCTGCCTCACCTGTAACCCCGCTCCCACCGATTCCTCCGACGATAATGCATCATACACACCAGCCGCCGTATGCTATTCCTGCTCCATCGCCTGCCACGGGGAGCACAATCTGGTCGAGCTGTTCAGCAAGCGCAACTTTGTCTGCGACTGCGGGACGACCCGGATGCCATCGACCTCGCCCTGCACGCTGCGCAATGACCCGCAGACCGGCGCGAAAGGCGTCCACTCCGAAGAACCCCATCCGGGCAACAAATACAACCACAACTTCCAGAATAAGTTCTGCGGCTGCAACGAGGACTATGACCCCAATCAGGAGCGAGGGACAATGTTCCAGTGTTTGGGTGTGGGGACGGTCGAGACAGGCGGCTGCGGCGAGGACTGGTGGCATCCAGAGTGCCTGATCGGGCTTTCGCGCGACTGGTACCAAACTGCGAAGCAGCAGGAAAAGGAGAAGCAGCAGGATGTGAAAGCTGAGGATGCGGTAGTAGCGGAGAATGGTGACGACAACAAAAACAAGCAAAACGACGAACCTGATGACGATGACGACGAGGAGACGCCCCTCCCACCCGGGTTCCCTGAGGAAGGTGACTTCGACATGTTCATTTGCTACAAATGCGTTGACTCGAATCCGTGGTTGAAGCGCTACGCGGGGACAACCGGCTTCCTTCCCCCGGTTTTCAAAGAAGGTGGACTTGCCAAACCAGTCGCATGTGAAGCCAAACCTGCCGAAACGACAGACCAAGAACCGACGACAGCAGAACCAATCGACCCCACCACCACCACCAGCGCGCAGTCTGAGCGTACCCTCAACTCCAAGAAACGCAAAGCCGACGACGACGACGTTGAACCACAACCCACAGCCGAGCCCTCTGCGAAGCGCATCAAGGACGAGGAGACGTCCGAACCCACCGGCACCAACACCGACACCGTCACAGCACCAAGCAACAACGCCGCTTCACCCTCCACCTCTTCCCAACCCCAACCCGACCAACCCACCGCCCCGAAACACACCACCCTCCCCACCACCCCACCCCGCCAGACCTTCTCCCTCTTCCTCACCGAAACCTTCCGCGACCATTTCTGCCGCTGCCCAGACTGCTACCCACACACCCTCGCCGCGCACCCGCAACTCCGCGAGGAGGAGGAAGCCTACGAGCCGCCCGTGTCGGAGGACGGGGACCACCACCACCACCACGGCGACGGCGCCCGCAGCACGGGCACGGGCAGCCTGCTCGACCGCGGCGAGGCGGCGCTCAGCAACATCGACCGCGTGCGCGCCATCGAGGGCGCCATGGTCTACAACCACCTCCGCGACCGCGTCAAGGAGTTCCTGAAGCCCTTCGCCGAGAGCGGCACCGCCGTCTCCGCCGAGGACATCAAGGCCTACTTCGAGAAGCTGCGCGGCGATGACCAGCATATCCGGGAGGCGGCGGCCGCGGGCCAGGCTTCTTCTGGTGATGGTGGTGGTGGTGGTGACGGGAAGGATGGGGATAGTCGGCGGGAGCAGAATGGTATGTTTCGCTCTCCTCCGCCCGGATCTTCTTTTCTTAGATTTTCAGTTGATTGTTCGTGTGGTTGCTAATTCTGTGGGGTTGTAGGGTACTAAGCTCACTCTTGATATCTATTTGATATATTCCGTTGCATAAGGGTGGGCTGGGGACTTATGAGCTCTAATAGTCGCGGGATATTTGGGATATACGTTTAGGACTCATGATTAGGGAAATGGCACAATTGAAAGGGAACGGCGTGGTTGGTTTGCAAATCGGAGCAGTTCAGTTGTCTTGGACTATCTATCTTTCTATCTATCTATCTATCTATCTATCTCTCAAGAACAATTCGGTTCAATAGTGTCTGTAAAGTGTGTGTTCTCTTTGCTTGATCTAGGAGGGCGTGGCGCCACGGTGGGCACAGAACGCTCGAATTTCAGTGCAGGTTGTACAATGTGCTTATGTTGTATTTCATCTAAATGTGTTGCTATGTATCTCGCACCTGATATTAATTCCAGCAACCTGAACGCCGTGCCCATATGCAGAGACTATATTTCGAGAGATTCAGACTGAAGTGGAGGCGGTAGGATCACTCCTTCAGGCGTTTCGCTGCTCGCCCCATCAATGTATCGTCCGGCAGTCCGCTCCGCTTGGTGCCGGGCAGGCTGCCGGACCGGATGTCATTGTCATCCTGCGTGACCCGGCGGTGGGGGTATTTGCCTTCGAACCCCTCGAAGCAGTTGGCCGAGATGGCGCCGCCGTTGCGGAAGTACGGGTGCTCCAGTGCCTCCTGGGCTGTGATTCTCTTGGTGGGGTCGTACTCGAGCAGCCGCGCCAGCAGGTCGTACCCGTCCGCCCCGGGAGTGCCCGCACTCGAGTTGGAGGAGTATCCGTTGTTCTTGAGACAGCTTTGGTACCAGCCCTCGAGGTTCGAGGAGCGGCTGAAGTGGCCGGGGGCCCGCGACACGGCCAGGGACTGGAGCTGGGCGTATTCCGGCATCGAGACGATGCCCGGCCAGGTCTCCTTGGTCGGGAGGCCCATGATCTCCATGATCTTCATCATCTGGTTGCGCTGGAAGGGCACCGTCTTCTTGCTGTCCATCTTGGCCTCTTCGCCCTTGAAGATGGGCCGCAGCGAGAGGAGCTCCGCGAAGATGCACCCCACCGCCCACAGATCCACCGCGGGCGTGTAGTGTCGGCTTCCCATGAGAAGCTCGGGGGCACGGTACCAGATGGTGACGACCACTTTGTCGCCCGAGAAGAGGGAGTTGAGGGGTTTGTAGAAGAGACGGGCGAGACCGAGATCCCCAATGCGGATGGCGCCGCTGGATGTGACCAGGATATTGGCTGGCTTGAGATCCCGATGCAGTACCCAGTTGGTGTGGAGATAGAGGAGACCGTTCAGCAGCTGGAACAGGATCGATTTGACCATCGCCGCTGGAATCGCATGTCTCTGCGGTTGCGTGTGGTGGTGGATGATCTGGAGGAGATCGTGTTCCGTGTACTCGAAGACCATGAAGATGCACTTGTCTTCCAGGATGATTTCTGCCAATTGCACCACATTGGGATGGTCAAGCTCGGAGCAAAGAGCCATCTCTCGGATCGCGGACTGCGAGAGACCAGTGTACTGCACTACCTCCCCTTCCTTGTCCGGCTTGAACCTGTAGTCGGTCAGCGACGAGAGATTTGATGGAAGTGAAGGCGTCCGCATCTACTTACTTCTTGATGGCGAACTCGCCCTTCTGGCCATTTTTGCCGATCGCCTTGTAGACTCGGCCATACGTACCGCTGCTGATGAAACCCACAATGTGGTATCTATCTCGCACTCGGACTTTACTGGTGTAACCGGTCCCTGGCGGCCTTCGCGAATCTGTGCTTTCTAAATATAGAAAATCATGTTAGCACTCATAGGAACAGTATTTCTCAGTGACAAGGCATCAGCCAATCGCAATTTAGGGGTAAGAGTCTTGGAGGACAGAGAAAAAAAATTAAGTCAACCCGAGATTGCTGGCAGAGGGGTAGACAGTTCAATAAGTGAGGGTATAGCGTATAGCAGCAGCGTGTAGCCAGCAACAAGAGGGTCGGAGATCGAAGGGACAGCAATTACCACGTGGATAAAACCCGGCGACAGAATTATAGAACGGAAAGCTCTTCCCAAACATGATGGAGGCACTAGACAGTTCTTGTTTCAAACCCGTTCAGAAAGCTCGAGACCTATAGTCTAGCTCGGGTACATTTGAAGATGTCACCAATGAGATAGTAATTTAGAACTAACAATCTTCAATCATCAACCAGTGGACATCGTGATGGTGATGGGCCCAGGTCAAGAAAGTAGAAGGGCGCTTGGAGAACTGAGTGGTGGCAAAAGGTGGAGACAGACGGGGTGCTAACGGAGGGTGGGTGGGTTGCAACTTGGAAGCAGTGGAGAAGCACAGAAAGGAGTAAAATAAATAGGGTAAGAATGTATAAGTATGGAGTACTGAGTAGGTAGTAGGTTATGTATGTACGAGTATGAATGGATAATGAATTATAGCCGGGTATTACCATCAACAGTCGCCTGCAGACTCTTCAAGTTCTTTAGAGACAGACTTTGGCTGACGGTGGCCACAGTAGGCCTGGAAGTCGCACTTAGAGGACCGGATGAGGAAGGGGGATTCGTCAGACTCATGGAAGAAGAAGAAGAAGAGGAAGAGAAGAAAAAGAAAAAAGAAGAGGAAAAGAAGAGGTAGATTTGAGAGGGAGGAATGCTCGGGAGACAAATTGGGGTGGTGTGGTTCGATTGAACTGGTTAATACGAGGAGTAGTAGCTTGTTGGATAGAGGAAAGTAAGTCAGTACGCGGTATCTATTCGCAGTCGGCAAGGACAGTGAGCTGAACCATGCATACGGAGACACTGATCTCCACCACTATGAGAAGAGCCTAAGACCTGCAGGAAGGGACTCAATGATCAGGTACTCCGTAGGTTAGGTATGATTGAGAAATGAGCAACAATGGTTGGTGGTGAGAGGCTGCATTGAGAGGCGGAGGTGGAGAGGGAGAGGGGAGGGGATTGTGGCTGACTCAGCACAACATCAGTCCCCTGGTTGATAAGAACAACAACAACAGCAACTACAGCCAACAAGAACAAACAATACGTGTATACATGTGTAACTATCCACTACGCATAGTCACTTGCTTGTATAGTCAAACTACATAACTCTGAATCCTTACAGAGTACCTCAATGCTCACATTGCTACGGAGTACTGAAACTCTGTGGCAAACTCCCTATCAACCCCGGCCCCCTGAGTCGGTGATAAGGCAACGGACTTTCCTTCTCCCGATGCATACTGATTAGCCGCAACGTCATCTAGACGCAGCTCGGCACTTAACAACAACCCTCCTTTTTTGACATTGGTGATGACTGGACCGAAACCTACTTGAAAGTCTCCATTGGTCGATGACTTGATTGTTGTACGAGGAATATCCTTGCAATTTCAACTTCCAACCATAGAATGGCTTCAGGGGACTCGACCCGATCTAGGGTCACGCCGTACTTGGTCTATCTCGTGTTCATAACCACCCTAGGACCGCTGCAATTCGGATATCACCTTGTAAGCATCGGGGGCCATCTCATCTTTCCATGTTACTACCTTTGCTGACTTTGGGACCTGTCAAGGCTGAATTAAACGCACCTCAAGCCGTGATCACTTGCGAGCAAAAGAGCATTCACTCTGCTACAAGCGCAGCCTCACTTCCGCAATGCATACCGATGAACCCGTCCCAGTTCGGCCTGGTATCATCGATTTACACCCTTGGTGGCCTAGTCGGAGCTCTGTTGGCAGGGCCAGTATCCACCAAACACGGTCGCTTGTTCACTCTCCGCGCTACGACTATATTCCATATCTTGGGTCCCGTAGCTGAGACCTTCGCATCCAACATACCGTTGCTAAGCGTTGGCCGCTTCCTATCGGGAGTCGGGTCCGGGGCCGCTATTGTTGTCGGTCCAATTTATGTTTCCGAAATAGCCCCTCCTGCTGCAAGGGGCTTCTTCGGCGCCTTCACGCAAGTCATGACGAACGTTGGGATCTTGCTCACACAAACGCTGGGGTACTTCCTGAGTTACGGAAGTGTATGGAGGGTCGTTCTTGCCGTCGCCGGCTTCATCGGGGCTCTGCAGCTTCTGGGACTCTTTCTGGTTCCGGAGAGTCCTACCTGGCTTGCAGAGCATCAGAAGGGCAGCTTGGCCAGGAAGGTACTGCAGCGTCTGCGCGGGAAGGATGCTGATATTGAAGAGGAGGTCAAAAGCTGGTCCAGCCCCTCCGTTGATGCTGCAGATGGATCGGGAGAGGAGCAGTCACTGCTGACACCACCATCGAGCAATATGCCACCGAAACAGCCACCAGTTACCATCCTCAGAGCCGTCACAGATCCTTATTATCGACCAGCTATTGTTGCCGTCGTTGGTGTCATGATTGCCCAGCAATTCACAGGAATTAACAGCATCATCATGTACAGCGTCTCGCTTCTTCAGAGCATCCTTCCTACTACCGCAGCCCTACTGGCAGTGGCCATCTCGGGTATCAACTTGGTTATCACACTTGCCTGCACTCCTTTGCCTGACAAGATCGGGCGTAAGAAATGCCTTTTGCTTAGCATCAGCGGCATGGGGATAAACTCCTTACTCTTAGCTCTGGGTATCTACACCAGCCAGAAAGCCTTGTCTGCAATCGCTGTGCTGCTGTTTGTGGCCTGCTTTGCTGTCGGTGTAGGGCCTGTGCCGTTCATCCTTGCGTCTGAGCTGGTTGGTCCGGAGGCTGTGGGCGCCGCACAGAGCTGGGCGCTTGCGGCCAATTGGACTGCGACATTCATTGTGGCGCAATTCTTCCCTGTCTTGAACCAGGCTCTGGATCGAGGCAGGATATATTGGGTCTTTGCTGCTATGGCTTGTCTTTTCGGAGCGTTCATTTACTGGCGGGTTCCTGAAACCAAGGGCAAAGCCAGCTCCGATGAGGTTTGGGGCAGGGTTGATCGACGAAGAAGTGACTAAAGCGACCTATTGCAGGATTACTATTGTTGGCTCATAGCCTTGGATGGGTTAAAAGCGGGATACAGATAGGAAAGGACTTCAGTCGACTTGCCTGAAGGGCAAAAAGATTTAGGCCCATGACAACCAGCGCTTGCACTTGCTAAGCTCCAGTACCACCATAATCTAAATCGAGCAACTAGTATCTCTTAGAATAGAGGCTTCAACGAGAAAGCTCGCATACAGCCACAGCTTATGTGTCACTCTTGGCATTAAGGGGTGCGCTTGAGGGCAGTAACGATTGGCGAAGCCTGATTGCGATCTGCACTATGGCTGTCCAGCAGCATCTCGCTCAAAGGACTGCTAAATTGTGCTGAGAGCATGTATTTTGAAGGCTTTAGCCCCTATTTCTCGTTGGACTTGTTGGCTATAGGTTGGTATAAAGTTGTGTCCAACTTTACATACATCTACGCGTCTCAGGTCTGAAACACAAGAGATTGGCTGAGCTCATATGTCTCTCTGGCTCTACTCACGAAAAACACAAATTGATTGCCAAGTATCGAAGATAGACAGCCTAAGGCCCGGAGCTTTACAAAAATCAACAGCCAGGTGAAGGCCTGCATCCACACTGTGGTAGTCTATAGGGCTGGAAGCCTGGGACGGAGGCTTGTCTGCATCGCAACGGTGGAACGAGACGCTGCTGTACGGAGGCCGCGGAATGGCCCGTTGGTCAGCGGGCGCCCCTCCCTCCTTTACTAGCACCAGACTATAACTCCCGTAGTTATGGTAGACTAAATTTCAAAGCAAAGAGAGAATCCCATCCAATCCAAAATTGCTATTTCTCATCCCAACAACTCCTTTCCAGCCCTTCCGCCGGTTCCTACTGGAGCCTTTTGACACTCAAGGTGGGGACACGATCGCTCAGCCCTGCTTCAGGGGACTTGACTGCTGCTTAGGCAGGCCAAAAGTGGAATTCTTTGCGGAGTCTTCCATCATCCATCATTCATGGGATCCTGATTCTAATTCCCGAGGGGGTTTTATTATCGGAAGATGTCTGTCCAGGCAGCCAGAAACCCATAGAGATCCATAAAGTAGGACAATCGGCGGTCCCGTGGAAGCACTCGCAGGCAGACCTTTTTCCTTCTTTCTCGTTCTCCTACCTTTGATGCAGCAGAGGATGGCAGATGCATTCGGTAGGGGAGAACAGGAAAAGAATTCCCGCAGCATGAACCGGTACCATATTTAGGAAGATAACCTCCATTGTGTACGGAGTCTCCGTAGTTAAGGATGTGATGTAGAGCGACCAATCTGGACTAGGCAGCCACAATCATTGATCACTCACTCTGGTGGAGATGAGACTAACTTCTTGGACCTGACGTCGTTCAACTCTTTTTACTCGCCGTTGGGTTTGGTTCATTCTCTCCCTACCAAGATTAGCCAGATTAGGGGGACGAAATGCTTTGCATAAGTGCGATAATTGCATCTAGCTGCATTATCATTCATTCTTGGAAGAAGAGAACGAACAACCTGTTAGTTCTAGGAGTGAAGTTGGGGTGGGGGAGAGAAAAGCAGGGCAACAACTAGTTAACTTTACCTCTTATTTCCGCTCTCCGAAGTAGTCCTGGGTTGCCGAGGATATGGAAGAAGAATAAGTAAAATGAGTGATTCAATGCGACTCGATCACTAAATTGACTAGCGATATGTCAACTTGTCATCTACTCGAGGATTCTGTACTTATTCTCCGTATTCTTTTCTGATTTATTTTTTTCTTTCTCCTCTCCGTATTCCGGCAATGTCTCCCTAGTCGATCGAGGCCACCCCACTTTATATACGAGAGAGGACAGTCTGGTCTGTCTAGTCCATTATCTATCTAGACTGTCCGTCTGGCTTGTTGTTCCTTTTTCTCCGTGCTTCGATGAAGGCCATAAACTAAAATAATAAAGTCTATGCGCAACCCACTCGGTCTCACCCACCCACTCAGCCGCGCAGTCAACTTTCCCATCCACCACTAACCACCACCACCTCCCATCCTTCCACACCTCTTCCACTATTCAACAATCACTGTCTGTTGTTTTCTCACCATGCTCCTGATCTCCCACATCTAAAGGGTGCCAATTGCAAAGTGCGTATACCTACCTCTGCTCCAACCTCATCGCAGTGCGTTGCGACCGTGGTGGCTTGCTCGTGGGATTGCTGGGTCGCCCGGAGCCAGATCTTCCTAAGATCGCCCGGCACTCAACCTTGACAGGCAACCACCGCGACAACTCTCCGTCATTGTGACTGGGGAGCTCCTCCTGTTCCCTTCTCCAGCTGCTGATTAGCCCCTTCAGGGCAGCTTCCCCTAATATCCCTGTTTGCTCACGAACGCGTCCCCAAACAATCCCACCCTCCGATCGCTTTCCCGTCGTCAGCATCGACGCGACGTCACCTCCCCGGCTCCGTCTGGCCTGCTTTCTCCCCCTCCCCGCACTTCCCGACGGTTCATCATCATGGTGCGCTTACCGTTGCCACAACGGCTCAGCACTCATTTGAGCTCAAAAAGCACCAATACCACTCCCGGCCAAAGCAGAAGTACCAGTCCTATGAGAATGTCTGACACGAAGCCCTTGATCCTCAAGGTCTCCGTCCTTCGGGTGAGTCCGCACTTCCCACATTCGCGGAGCCGTTCGGAAGTTCCGCCCGCATTCCTCAACATCACTAACCGTTGGGTTGTACTAGGGGAGAAATCTAGCAGCTAAGGACAGAGGAGGAACTAGCGATCCAGTATGGCATACAATCTATTCCAAACACTTAGCCAGCTGATCACCTGCTAATAAAGCCACCTTGTTTAGTACATGATAGTCACACTTGGAGAGGCCCGGCAGTCGACACCCACGATACCAAAGACCCTGAACCCAGAATGGAATGTGACGTTTGAGATGCCCGTGGTCGGTGTACCACTATTGGAGTGCATCTGTTGGGATCATGATCGGTTCGGCAAAGACTATATGGGCGAATTCGACATTGCCCTCGAGGAGATATTCAGCCGCGGCGAGGTCCATCAACAGGTACATTTTCCCGGAACGCGACTGACCTGGACGTGCGAGTTGACATGATACCTGCAGCCAACCTGGTACACTCTCCGCTCGAAACGAAAGCCGTCGAAGAAGAAGGACAGTATTATTTCTGGGGAAATCCTGCTGCAGTTCTCTCTCATCGATCCCGCAAACCCCAGTGCCCCTGCGGAAGAAGTCTACCAGAAGTTCAGAAACCTGGTATGTGCTGGGGACGATGAAGATGAGTTCCCGCAGGTACCTTCATTTTCACTGGAGGATGTCGACAGAGACGAAGAAACGTCGGATGAGACGGATGACCCTACCAAACCAGAGATCGTGGAAAAGCGAAGAAGGAAATTGCGCCTCAAACGTCTGAAACGTAAATCTTTGGCAGCAAGAGCCTACCAGTTCTCCGGGGTAGGAAATGGAGTGCAAGGCATCGTATTCATGGAGATTGTGAAGGTGACGGATCTTCCACCCGAACGGAATGGTATGGTTTCCCTGTGTCCATCCCAACCTCGTCATGGCTGAGCTAACTCTTGATGAAGTGACGCGCACCTCCTTCGACATGGACCCGTTCGTTGTCACCTCACTCGGAAGAAAGACGCTTCGGACACCGGTTGTCCGTCACAATCTCAATCCAGTATACAACGAGAAAATGGTGTTCCAGGTCATGAAGCATGAAACCTCGTATACGATCGGCTTCACCGTCATGGACAGGGACAAGTTCTCTGGCAATGACTTTGTCGCATCTGCCGGGTTTCCATTGCAAACATTGATCAAATCCGCTCCCAACGCCGATCCTGAGACTGGCTTGTACGATCTATCAAATCAGACTCCCGATCTGACGAGCTCTGAATCGGACATCGCTGCTAGACCAGCACCGCGGATCTCAGTTAGCCCTTCTCCCTCGACCAGCAGCCTGTCCAAATCACCTAGACTAGGCATGTCACCGAGGGGCTCTTCTACGTCCCTTTCGGGCCAGTCACAGCAGGGAGAGTCGACTCTTCTTCCACCTCGGAGTGTCCCGGAAGACACTGAGACTCCCAGCCTCTCAAGCTCTCCTACGCTGGCTAACTTTACCGTCTCCCCGCTTGAGCCTGATAGCGAAGGGCTCCGAGTCTATCGCATCCCACTCAGCTTGAAAAACAAGGATAGATGGGAAGACAAACACTCGCCCGAACTATTTGTCAAGGCCAAATACATGCCGTATCGTGCCCTGCGCCAGCAATTCTGGAGACTCATGCTTAAACAATACGATGCAGACGACAGCGGTCGTATCGATAAGGTTGAGCTGACTACCATGCTTGACACTCTTGGTTCCACCTTGAAAGAGTCCACGATTGACAGTTTCTTCGAGCGCTTCAGTCTGGAAAATCAACCCAGCGAAACGATGGATCTGACCTTTGATCAAGCTGTGATCTGCCTAGAAGACACCCTTCAGGCCCTCCAAAAAGACCCGAGATTGGCAAGCAGAAAGGTCTCGCCTACATCGTCATCGATCAGCCAGGATAGTGAGGAACAGTCAAGCGGTGATGATGAGCTCATTGCAGGGCTTAACGCTGGCTTGCCAGCCAACCATGACCCCCAGACTACACATGTTCCTACCATACCCACCGAGGAGCAGCCGGGCTTGGTTGACGAAGACCTTCAACCTGACGATTTGGGAGATGAACGCGGCGTGGAGCATGTCATTGAGCTTCGAGAATGCCCCCTGTGCCATCAACCGCGGCTCTCCTCTCGTTCAGATGCCGATATCATCACGCACATTGCCACGTGCGCAAGCCGGGATTGGCGGCAGGTGGACAACCTCGTCATGGGAGGATTCGTGACCTCAAGCCAGGCGCAGCGCAAATGGTACACTAAAGTCATCACGAAGATTGGTTATGGTGGCTACAAGCTAGGTGCCAACTCGGCCAATATCCTTGTCCAGGACCGAATCACTGGGCAAATCAACGAGGAGCGCATGAGTGTCTATGTTCGACTGGGTATTCGATTGTTGTACAAGGGTCTCAAGAGCAGAGAAATGGAAAAGAAGAGAAGTACGTCCCAACACCTTGTATGCGGTTATCGTTCAAAAGCTCTCGCTAACCATTATTTCAGTTCGCAAAATCTTGAAGTCCATGAGCATCAAGCAGGGCAAGAAGTACGATGATCCTGCGTCTGCCAGTCAGATCCGGGACTTCATCAACTTCCACCAACTTGATATGTCGGAGGTCTTGTTGCCCATCGAAAAGTTTAATAATTTTAACGAGTTCTTCTACCGTGCACTGAAGCCCGGTGCCCGGCCCTGCTCTGCGCAGGACGAGCCCAGAGTTGTTGTGTCACCAGCTGATTGTCGAGCGGTTGTATTCGACCGTATGGATGATGCGACTAACATCTGGGTCAAAGGACGAGAGTTTTCTATTGAACGCCTCCTCGGTGATGCTTACCCGGAAGATGTGAAGCGCTACAAGAACGGAGCGCTGGGTGTTTTCCGTCTGGCTCCCCAGGATTATCATCGCTTCCATATTCCCGTGGACGGAGTCATGGGTACCCCCAAGACTATTGAGGGTGAGTACTACACGGTCAATCCCATGGCGATCCGCTCTGCTCTCGACGTGTATGGCGAGAACGTGAGAGTGCTCGTGCCAATCGATTCCGTGGCTCATGGTCGTGTCATGGTGGTCTGTGTTGGAGCCATGATGGTTGGAAGCACAGTCATTACACGAAAGGCTGGGGAGCAGGTTTCACGGGCCGAAGAGCTCGGTTACTTTAAGTTTGGAGGAAGTACCATTCTTTTGCTCTTCGAGGAGGGGTCGATCAACTTTGACAGTGACTTGGTGGACAACTCGAAGGGGCCCTTGGAAACTTTGGTAAGACGACCCCTTACTGCTCCTTACGCATGTTTCTTAAACTAACACGGCCATCTTTCGAAAATAGATCCGGGTAGGCATGTCTGTGGGTCATCATCCCGATATTCCCCAGTTCGAACCGGATATGCCCAAGAAATCCGAGGATGTCTCTCTTGAGGAGATGCAGTCTGCCAAGCGTCGGATTGAAGGCAGTCTGGCCCCGCCGACTGGAGATGTCCCTGCTCTCCCGTAGACTATGTTGTGCATTGTAATTTTGTTTTTACATATGCTCTGTATTCTTGCAGCTCTTCTTGCCAAGCGGGGTATATTGCTTTATTTTTTTCATTATTCTTTCGGGCGTTGACAGGTACGCTTAAGAGGCCAGGAGCCTGCATAGCGATTGAGAAACTCATTTTGTAAAAAGATTATAAGTATGAGGTGTGATGTGTGATGGGCATGAAGGGATGTTGAAGGGTGGATGGATTGTACATAATCTCGATACAAGAATTGGTGATTCTACCATATGTGAATAAAACAATTTATATACACCAAAGTTTTGGTACTTGATGGATGCATTTGAGCAATTGATTGAAGAGCACTCATAGTAGTCTAGCAATCGAGTTGGCGGGACAAGCTAGAAGTTGTCATCCCGAAACGGACTAGCGCTTTCTCCCCACGCGCCACGGCCAAAACAACCGCGTGCCTGCGGCGACCGACCGACCGACCAAGGCCAAAACCCCCCCATCGTCATCCCGACGCCAGCATCAGAGTTCCCTCTGCGCAAGGAGCGGGATTCCATCGCGATAATTCTGCCAGACGCTGAGGGAGAATTGACTACTCGTCCGAGATATTGCCTACGAGCGCGACCTTCCTTGGGACAATCTGTGCGGGTGGTTGTGCGCGCGCAACCCGCATCGACAACACACGTCTCTCGGACAACAAACCTTCACAACCCAAACCCCCCCCTCATTCAATTCACCTACGCCGTCAACAATACAACATCCCCTGATTGTTCTTGTCGATCTGCGACCGTGCGATATACCAGCCGGGCTTTACACCCAAAGACGAGTGACGAGACAGGCGGAGGAAAGGAAAACGCAGCATCCGACGACCCAAACCCGCCCGCCCTCGACAACTTCGACTCCACGATTTGCTTCCGCCAGTGATATTGCATTGGCGCAGTCTTATCGAAAGGGTGCAGATAGCTTGTCTAGGGGCTTTCGATCGCCGATCAGACTTGAATCGCATCTTCTGTCGGAGCGAGGAGGATCGGTTACGACATCGCGGAATAATCCTCTTTCTTCTCATTCTCATTTCGGCAACCGACTTACGCGAAACTTTTTCCGACTCGAAAGCAACACCGCGCTTCCAGTGACTGCGCGAAATTTTTCCGACGAGGCTATCTTTTCTTAGATGTGAAAAGGTCGAATTGAGCGACCGGACGTGCGAAAATCCCGACCAGGAACGAAGGCCATTGACTCGACACCAAACATCCCCAGCCCTTTTCGTCGGTCCCTGACATGACCGTCACTGTTTTGGCGACGCCCACCACCACCACCACCACCACCACTACAGCTAAGACGAAGCGTCGTGGACCATTACTGGCTATCGATATGGCTACGTCCCAGGCGCAGGCGCGTCCTGCGGCGCCTGGAAGAGGCGGGGGCAGACGATCGAGTCGGCGGCTGAGTAAACAGGATAAAGGCGAGGAGAATGCGACTGCGACTGCGAATGGTACAAGTGCTGGGGAGAAGAAGCGGAAGTTAGGTGAGTCGCTTCGCTTTTTTTCATTGTGTTGAGATTTTTCGGGTTGATGGGGTGGGTAGCTTCGATGGATTGCGATTCTGGCCAAGGTTTACTGGATGATTTGGTCGGGACGTGCTAATTCTTCTTTTCCTGTGTAGTACCTGTTGATGAGGAAGAAGACGATGGTTTCCAATTTACGCGCATCGCGACAAAGAAGCCCAAACCGTCGACGGAAAAAGTTCAACCTGCACTTTTGCCGGCAATCTCGCATCTGAATACAGCGCCGCAGCCATCTCCGAGAAGGGGTCGACCACCGAAGAAGAAGGTGGTGGAGGAGAAGGTGGAGCCTGCTGCGGTTGCGATGGAGACTACTATGGAGACCACGAAAACGAGACGAAAAACGAAGCAGAGCGAGGGAATGAGCAAGAGGACAACACGGGGAGCCGCGAAGGCGAAGGAGACCCAGCCTGAGCCTGAACCCGAGCCTCAACCGGATCCGGAGCAAGAACCGGAGTCGCAACCTCCAGCCCAGGCGCAGCCCGAGCCACAGCCAGAACGCGCAAAACGCTCGACGCGAAAACGAGATCAGTGGGAAACGGTTCCCTTGGAGAAGAAGCGGAGGAAAGGCCGACCTAGTAACTCCAGGAAGGAGGAACAGCAGAAACAACAACAGCAGCAGCTGACGCCGCAGCCGGAACCAGAGCCTCAACAACACCCACGACGAGCGTCGCTTCGCAATGGGTATGTGTCTCCAGAGCCGCCGCAGGCTGGCACGGCCACGATTTCATTGCCGTTGGCCGACACGCCGGTCATACAGAGGAATCGGGAGATGCGAGGGAAGAAGTCCGTGAAGGGGAACAACCGCCGGAGTAGTCTGGGGATGCGAGGGCGGCGAGCGAGCTCGCTGATCGACTCTGGGGCGTCCAACGGTGGGTTTTATTGATCCGCAGGTGATTCCATGGCACGAATGGCTGACGGAGATAATTCAGCGTTACCACATAAGAAGGTCAACACGGCGGATTTCTATAAGCATATTGCCGCAGACCTAACGGAGCCGCGCCGAATGCGGCAGCTTTTGATCTGGTGTGGTACTCGAGCCATAGGCGACAAGCCTTCTGGGTCGCGCTCAGAGGATGAGAGCGCTCGGCTAGCGGGTAAGTGCACCTTTCCTGGGATTGCGATGCACATGCTAAGACAACCTAGCACGTGTTATACAGGAGGAACTACTCAAGGACTTTGAGTCGAACTCCACACTCTCTAATTGGTTCGAACGGGAAGAGCTGGATCCTCCCGCGGTGGTGGTCAAGAAGGAGAACCCGAAGAACATCCAGAATGCGGACAAGATCAAGGAATTGGAGGAATTAATACAGAGGTACGTCTCGCTTTGGGGCTCTGTGTTGGCCAGACTGCTGACGATTGACAATAGGCTACAAAAAGAGCGGCATGCTCTCAATGCTCTGTTACGACCGCCGGATATTCCCCGTATCAAAAAACAGCCGCTCGAGACAGATCCCAGCCAATCTTCACAACTATCATCATCCAAACCTGCCGAGCTGATCGATTTATCGGTACTACACCCGTCTCAGCAGAGAATATATGCCCAGATCGACCCGGAGACGGTCAAACAACAAGAACAACCACCTCAACCACAACCATCACAGTCGACGGACGGCGAACCCATGGACACCGACCCGCCATCAGCAGCAGCAACAACAGCAACAACCTCCGCAACAGATACCTTCCTCCCTCCAATGTCCCCCACCACCATCTCCACCCGCCTCTCCCGCGTAACCAGCACCCTCGCCCCGACACTCGACTCCCTCGCCGCCGGCATCCACAACCTCGAACTCTACCGCTCGACCTCGGACGCCGTCTCCTCCCAGGTCCTGCGTATCTGCGCCGAGCGCCTGGAAGCCCGCGACGCCCGCAACAGCATCCGCCGCTCGGCCAGCACCGACTCGGTGGCCGACCACAAGGACCTCAGTCTCCGGCCCCGACCCAAGGAAGACCTAGGCGTGATACTGGGGGCATTGAGCCGGGTAGAACGACGAGCGTGATATGTATGGTTGCGTACGATACGAGGGAGTGGAATTGCAAATATTCTGCGGGCATTTCTAAGGGGAGTTTCACTTTCTAGCCCGATTTTTCTCTTTCTCGCTTCTGGTAAATTTGAATCCTAATACCAATACCTTTACATGCTGCTGCTGCTGCTGCTGTTGTTATGGGCTGGACCTGGTGTAAGCCCTTTTTTTCCTTCAGTTGTCTGTCTTTGATTTCTCGGGTTCGTTTGGCGGGCATTGGGGTTCGTCTGGTTTTTTCTGCGGGTGTCGGGATATGATGGATTTGATGGGTTGCGCTGGGTTGATTCGATTTGAAGCACTAGCACTAGCACTAGCAATGGAGTTTGGGGAGTGAAGTGTGTTGATACAGGTCGGTTCTGGGGTTTGTTTGATACGTGGTGGGTGGGCAGACCGAATCGAATGGGCCATACCTAGACCTACTCAGCTCTATTTCCCCGGATTACTATTCCTACTAGTAAATTCGATAGAGGAGTCGAATCCGTGGATGCAGGTATGCTCAAACAAGCAAGAGGTACTCCGTACAAGTAACCACTATATCCAACATCCATGCCATTGCTAGCTGAGAAGTGCCCTTCCCGCCAGAAAAAACAATATGTGTATTCCCCGCACGCCAAAACCTGGGGTGCTGTACAGTACAAGCAGCGCAGTTCCTTGCTGGGACCTCACCTCTCTTGCTACACTGGACTGACCACTACATACAAACAGCCTTCCATCACGATCATGCTCCAAGTCAAAAAACGAATTCTCCAGCAGCAGGCATAGACAACTGGAGTCTCCAGCAAAGAAACCAGTCCAAGGGACGGGGGTCATCGTCGCTAGTCCCGGCCTATCCTACCTGTACCATAACGCCGGTCCGGCACTGCACCTTGCAGTGCAGTCGCTAGCTTTCCTTCCAATGCAGTCGCTATCCTTCCCGTGCAAACCGCGACGACGACATGCGTCATCATGCATGCATGACGCCGGAAATCCCGCAGTTGGGTTGTTTTTTTTTCCTGCAAGGTACGGAGTGGATGGAGGAGATTGGAGTTACTGGATGCGATTTCTGATGTGATGGGGACGGATGGGCGGGCGCGTGTCACCGTGGATTGGTTGGCTTTTGTTCTACTGGTGCTTGGATGGGGAGCTGTTGTTTGGGTTAGAGGTTGGGAGATTAGGGGTTGGTATTGTTGTTGTTGTCGCTGTTGTGATTGTTGTTGTTGACACCCTACTGTATGAGCTTTGATCGGGGTGTTTCTGGAGGAAAGCGAGAGGGGGATTGGATAATGCTCTACTGAATACGAGAAAACTGGGTTGGGGCTGAAGGTTTCATGCGATGTCTGCTGTGATCACAGCGGGCTATCTATGAGATGAGATTGAAGAGGCTTAGACAATGTCCTGCGTTGCAGAGGTGAATGGGGCTGGCCTGGAGCACTTCTGTTGAGGTGAATCTAAGACATGGGCAGCTAGGATCCAGGAGAAGGTTTGCGACCTGTTCAGATGATTGAACTAGCTGATAGCTACGAAAGATCTAGAGGGGTTGATTCTGGCAGCTGGAAAATCTGGAAAGAGGATTCAAGACAAATCAATATGCTCTTGACTCCCTAGAGTTCACTAGGCTAAATGTCATGCGAACGGGGCATAGCTGAGGAGTCAATGGTGACGAATCGTAGAGTCATCGTTTGATTCGCCGTCATGGATGTCAAACTTACTTACCTCCCCTTATCGTACTGTGATTGTACAGGGGTTTTGGCTGTCTCTGCTTGGTGAATGTCTCGTCACACCGAGCTAGATAATCTCTGTCTCAGTATAAAGACTCACCTAGAACATATCTTGGACTATACATCGACCGACGGGCTGAAAGCTAATCCCTGCGCGCAGAATGCACACATCCCTGTTCCAGGCGCAATCATGATGGATTATACTCCCTCCAACGGCAAACTTGTTATGTCTCAGAGCGCCCTGAGAAGATAGCCAACGTCACCCAAATTACCCTGGCGACGGGATGGTGCGGATTTCGCCACTATCCCTCGCACTGGCAATCAGACACAAGCTACCTCCCTGCCTTCCCCACAGTGGCAGCAGCCAGCGCGCAGACCTTCATGACAGGAGACTTACATCCGCCGGCACGGCTGCATTGCCTCCCCGGTGTGACGCCTTTCGCTCTCATTCCGGTTTGCAGAATTAAAGACTGGTCCTTGCGCTCATGCAGGTGACACCGCCATCCTCGGCAGCACTGCGCAGCGTCGGACGGGAGGAAAGTCGATCCCGCTCTGGGTTGAACAAGCCCGGTCGCAGGAAGCTTGGGACTCTGGCGGGCGTGTAGGAAATGGTAAACAAAGACAGGCCTAATGGCTGCAACATAGATGTAAGTAAGCTCCTAGAGTCGATCTGTCAGTGTAGCATTAGATAGGCACACAGCGGACTTACCAGCCACCGTCCGAGCACACAGAAGATGAGACCAGGTTCGGCTGTGCGTGGTGTGACCTGGCGCCACGCAATCTACCAGATGCGAATACCCACTGACATCATGAAAAGGGGCGTCATACAAGCCAAGGGTGCTCGGAAGCAGCTCGATGCAGGTACGAGACAGTGAAGAATGGCAGAGGAGACCTGAGCTGATTCTTGTGATGGAGCGTCCTCTGTCGATTCTCCGATAGTGCGGTGGACTAAACAACAAAGAGGGGGCAGGCTATTGTCGACGTCGCTGGGATATGTTCTATATTTATTCTCGGGGTATCGAGAGGAATGTCAAGACCACACTGTAGCTGGGAGTGGGGCAATCTTCAATCATCCAGCCTAGCTCTGCGCACCCCAACAAGCGAGTAGTCAATCCTCAAGTGCCATTCGGGTTCCGACCGGGGATCGGCGAAATTATCGCCACGCCGACCGGTAAGCAAGCCTCAAGTAAGGAGTCGAGCCAGAGGCGTCTTTTTAGTTCCAACGTCGAAGCTTGTCTGCAGCCGGCGGATTGGTGTACGTAGGCAGGTGTAAACTTCCCTGGATGCAAGTAATATGAAAGAACAGAAGGATGGAAACAGACATCAAAAATCTTGTGGCATCTGTATCGGGAACTTTTGACCTCAAACAAAACCATCAAAGGTACTCGAAAATCGGGGCAGTGATGCGGTATGGCTGAATCCGGTGAGCCGCTAAAAGTAGGTATTGTAGATCCCCTGACTGAACCGTGCAGTGGCACTTGTGGAGGGAGTGCAAAATCCAATACGGAGATGTGATTAGCCCCAGGATTCAGGACCCATTCTGATTGATGATCAGGGGGTGGAGGGAGGAGGGGTCAAGGATACTCCATGACAGCAAGGGAGGTCCAACCATCCATAGCTGGCTGCATGGCGAATATCTTGCGGATCGTCCACTGCTTGAACGCGCGTTTTACCCCACACTCCTGCTTTCGCCAGTCAGAGGTGCATGATAATTCCCCTATACCACTTAGACCTGCGGTGCAATGAGCTCGGAGAAAGCTTACCCTTGAAATCTAACCACAATTAGTATATGTGTACGGAGTGCTGTACTATGTGGGTAGTTCTAGTACATGTTAGTGGAGGATCTAGGTTCGTGGCAATGCTTGAGAACAAGTTGTAGAAGATGACAATTGGAAAGAGAAGAATTCAATGGACGAGAGAGAACTTGAAGAGAAAGTGACTGGGGTTGAGATTGAAGTCTACAGGGACCTCCCAATCCCGTTCAGGAAGCCGCCCACCGCTCCTTCAAATTTTCCTCCATTTCCACCAACCTCGACCTCAACTTCAACTTCAACTTAACCGCTTCACTCCATCATCCCCAGATCAACTCTCCCCTGTTCTTTCTGTCCGACTCGTCGTCGCATCGAGCCTCGCCATGTGATAAATTCGAAAGAGGTCTGCAGAAGCTTCGTCATCTGCCATGGATCCGCTCCCCCCCCTCTCCTTGAGTCCCTACTGGAGCCGCTGCCGAGATCCTGCACTACGATATGATGTGATACTCGACCGAGATGGTCGAATGCGGCCCCAATTGTAAGCTCAATATCCATCCATCCATCATCTGTCAACGATTTAAAAATCCGACCAGCTGACGTGGAAGATGGTCGGGAATGGCTCAATGCACACTCCTCCCGCATCAAGAACCACGGGCTACTTGTCCAGACCGACCATGGGTCCGATGATGTCCCTGAATGACTTGTTGACGGTCCGGTTCGGGCACTAGAAGAAGTAGACGAACGTCGTTGATCTTTAGTTGCGGATGGGAGGATCCTCTTTCCGGACCCAGCAACGGGCCCACATCCCCGGGGGTTTCCAGTTTTGCCTCTCGACCTATTCAGGAGTGCCAGATAATACAAATAGATGTGAAACCAGAACCCACCGCGCGCATACATCAACATACCTCTCGATCGACTCAGCCCCATCAATCAGCTTTCATACTTTCCCCAAGAGGTTCCAGAAGGCTGCACCGTGGATCCAGGCGCGTCTGTCCGTGGGGACCCGAAGAATCGACCACAAACTAGTGGACAGTCTGCCTAGTCTCTACGCGACTCAGACGAAACAGTAGAAACCATTTACTCATGCAGATTCTTGGATGCACGGCTGTCTGTGAAAGCAGCCAAAACTCAACGCAGGCCGAAGAAAACGCTGTCGTCATCGTTAGAACAGGAGTCTCCGGACTTGTGAGACAATAGCCCTTTTAATGAGCTGTCTTGGGCTCCTTCAGTCAATTCCCCTCGACGCCGTACATCTGAAGCCGTCTTAGCCAATGTGACTCCTTTATGAGCCACAGTGGTACCGTATCGCGGAGCCCGTGGAACCAGTTCCGTCAATGAATGTGGTCGCGTCCCAGATAGTAGCAAGACGGCGCGGCCCTGCTGATAGATGCCTGAGCGCAGCTGCTGTAGTCCTTCGGGGTTGGGTGTCACCCTTTTTTGATTTCCTGTGATTGTCTGAACCTCTTGACATGCCCTTCGCTTCTTGGATCCGGTTGGTTCCAAGCTATCGGACTTTAGGGTTATGGGGCTGCACCAGGCCTGGAGCTGGGACTCTCCCTAGCGCAGCTAAAGAGACTTTCCTTGAATATGTCTCTTCTTTTTGCTCGACTTATTCTGAATCATTTTTGCCTGGCCCGGAAGTCGCTGATCCATTGGTCCGGGACTGTCATGACCTGCAGCGATAATCGATGCAACGATTCATCAGCGTGGCGATGATGCTCCGCAGCTGAAGCTACTGTTGATACAAAACTTTTCCTTCCCCTTTCTCTGGCATCTTTTGTCCAGACGTCAAACCCCCAGATTGCAAGAGAGTATCCTGAGTCATTCTACTTCCCACGGCCTTAAAGTCCTTAAATCCTGCTACACAGGGCTAAGGACAGATCGCGCACATCCCATTTCTTCATATGATATTCAGTGTGGTTTGAGCTCCGTGATTGGTCCTCCCTTCCTTTATCCGGAGCTCACATATCCCAAGATTCGGCTGCTTTCGTCCATCAGAAGATCGGACTGTCTCTGGCACTTGCCGTCCCCACCACCTTCGATTATAATACCCTCGAGCTTCATCGAAGCCACGGCTAGTACAGTGCAAGCTCTTATCTATCTTTCCACCCCTCCCCCTTTCTATCTTCGCCTGCCTCCTCTTCCACCCTGCAGCAGGCTCAGATTTTTTCTGGAGGAGTCCTTCAGGCCAGCACTACCAATCGGGGCATGCGTCCGTGACGTGCCTTCATTCCTTACGGCGGGCCCTTCATCCCTTCCAACCGACCTACCGTCGCGACCGCTCTCTGCTTTTTGAGGTGGCTTGAATCGCGAAGCCTTGCAGTCACCATCTCGTCCTGTCTATGCCCGCCTCATTCCTTCACCTTGGCATAATTCTGCGAGGTGAGTTTCAGTTCGTAGTTAAGCCCGATCAATGATGTAACGCGCAGATCTGACATGGTTGCCAGGCTACTGAATATAGCTACGATTTGCTGACCACGGAGCTGTGCCTTCGAGGGGCTACAAGATCAGATATCGCCCTCAGAACTAGAAATAGTGCATCTCGCAAAAAAGGTCTGTGTGGAGAGTACGGAGCACAGAAATCAACAAGTGGAATACTTCGGAAGTACTAAAAGAAATCCCAGCAGGGTGACACAGAAAGTACTAGAAATTCCGCTTTTTCAAAAGGAACTCTGTCCAGTCACGTAAATCACACGGGAATGGCTGGTGGTTACTTTGATCTTCCTATTTCCTCTTCAAGGCCTCGAAGCCTTACCGATCTGTCCGGGAGGACAGGCAGATCCTCGCAAGGGCCGCGTATATCCTCTCTCTCGATCCCCAATGAGAGGCTTCAAGAGAGTGCAGCGGACCCTAGCGGAGCCCAGGGTAGATTCCGGAATGCTAGAAACCCCAAGAACGCGAATCGCGTCAAATTTACTGTCAGCGAAGCTGGCCTTGGCGACAGTACTTTGGGATCGACGTCAGAGACCCGGCTTGATGGAAGGGGTTCATCATTGCCTCAAAGACCGTTACCCACAGCTCGCATTCCAGTCGCCGACAAGGTCACTGCCAACCCCCAATCAGTGCCCTTGATCGATATCAGTCCTGGCTCACCAGTCGGTGTCACGGGCCTAACTATCCACTCAAGGGCTAGCTCGCCGGAGATTTATGGTGATGATGAAGTCAGAAATGAGAAGGGGAGAGCTATCCACTCTGCGCAAGAGAGGGCCCGGCGATTGGCCACCTTACTCAGTCGTTCTCCTAATTCTCCTAGGCCAAGCCGTCGGAGCAGTCTGCCGTCATCCATAGACTCGACTCCCTCCGAGGTGGTGCTGCCCGCTGAGCTTGGAGATGAAATTCCCATGATCAGCCTGACTGAGAAAAATTTCGAAGACTATTCAGACGACGATGAAGTTGGCCCTCTGAACGGTCGACACTCCACGCGTTCTTCTGAAGCTCACAAACTAGTGCAACAAATGACTCTAAAGGATTTCAACTTTTTGACCCGGCTTCAAGCCCCGTCTCCAGGGTTTCGCTCTGGACAGGTTACTCCCCTCGAAGACAGGGATTCCGAAAACTATGTCGAACGGCCATCTCAATATCGGAGTGGGATTCTCTCATCTCTGCTGAAGCTTCAAGAGCACTCGGATGGCCACTACTCTATCGGACGTCATGGACGTTCTCGCCGGAGTAGTGCCGGGGAAATCAGTGGCAGAGGGCTGTCTCCTGATCCAAGTTGGAAGTCCCAGCGTCCGAGGAAATGGTACGAAAAATCGCCGAGCCAGTCTAGTCTTTCTCTAGCTGGTTCCACCGCCAAAAATTCATCAAGCTCCCCTATCGCGATGCTCAAGCGCTCACGGAGCAGTGGTGCGATACCAGGCGCGCCTAAGCGAACGGGCAAGCCACAGCTTGAGGACGAGATCCGGATTACAGTTCATATTGCCGAACTTCTCTCGCGGCAACGGTATTGTATTCGTCTCTGTCGGGCTCTGATGAAGTATGGGGCACCAACGCATAGGTTAGAGGAGTATATGAGGATGACGGCACGGGTCTTGGAAATCGACGGCCAGTTTCTCTATTTCCCGGGATGCATGATCATCTCCTTTGACGACGCTGCCACCCATACGACGGAGGTGAAAGTGGTGCGGGCGCCTCAGGGTGTTGACTTGGGCAAGTTGTCCGATGTACACCTGATCTATAAGGAGGTGATCCACGACGTGATCGGGGTGGAGGAAGCTATTCAACGGCTGGATGAGATTATGAGAATGAAGAACAAATACCCTGTCTGGCTTCTGATTCTGTTGCATGGCTGTGCTAGCGCCTGCGTTGGCCCCTTTGCATTCAGTGCCCGACCCATCGATATGCCGATCGCGTTTCTGCTTGGATGCCTCTTGGGGACCCTGCAACTTGTGCTATCTCCACGATCAAACCTCTATCAAAACGTTTTCGAGATATCGGCTGCTGTTCTGACTTCATTTCTGGCACGAGCTTTTGGCAGTATTCGCCACGGAGATGGACGACTGTTCTGCTTCTCGGCTCTGGCCCAGTCATCAATTGCGTTGATTCTACCAGGCTATATGGTACTGTGTGCCAGTCTGGAGCTGCAGTCCCGCAGTATTGTGGCAGGCTCTGTCCGGATGGTGTATGCCATTATCTACTCTTTATTTCTTGGGTTCGGTATCACAATCGGCACTGCGGTGTACGGTCTCCTCGACGCCGATGCTTCCTCCGAATACACCTGCCCGCCAAGTCCCATCACCAACGAGTATGTGGGACGCTTTCCCTTCGTTATCCTGTTCACGTTCTGTCTCGCTGTGATCAACCAAGCGAAGTGGCGACAAATGCCGATGATGCTGGCCATCGCATTCACGGGGTTCGTGACCACCTACTTTGGCACCAAGCGATTCTCCACCAGCACCCAAGTGTCCAATGCTCTGGGAGCGTTTGTGGTCGGTGTGATGGGGAATCTCTACAGTCGACTGCGACATGGCTTTGCAGCAGCTGCGATGCTACCTGCCATTTTTGTGTTGGTACCGTCGGGCCTCGCAGCCAGCGGTTCTCTGATCTCTGGGATTGCCGCAGCGGAACAGATCACGACGGTGCCGTCTCCATACTCACCAGTGTCCAACGGAACACAAGGTTTCGTTGATGCTGCCCAGAATATGACCAAGCCTGAGTATGACACCCAGTCCCACGGAATCGTTCTGGACATCGGGTATGGTATGATCCAGGTGGCAGTAGGCTTCACCGTCGGTCTGTTTTTGGCTGCTTTGGTCGTCTACCCACTGGGCAAAAAGCGAAGCGGGCTCTTCAGTTTCTAGAAGACTTGCCAAGTTGGCGACATGCAATTTATACAGCACTCTTTCGCACCTATATACGTGAAGCGTACCTTTTTTTTCTGTTTTTTTGTTTTCGTTTTTCGTTTTTTTTTTTTTTTTTTTTTTTTTTTTTTTTTTTTTTTTTTGTTGTCTAGCATTACCGTCACGAAGCGAGTCTGTCGAGTTGTTTCAGCGTGAAATGTTTGGAGTGATCTCTTGCTTGATTCCAGCTATACAGTGTTGGCTCGACCGCCCTCTCTTTTCTCCAAACCCTGTAGTTTCCTATTCTGTTGTTCTTGAGATTCTTGCATCTGTCGATAACCTCACTCTCTTTTCCTTTCTTTTTTCTTTCTTCCTGCAGTCTGTGTCTGTGATCCACTCTGGGTAGTACTTTAGCAATGATGAGATTATATGCTAGCTGTGGTCATCGATTTTGATCCCAACTATAGTAGGTGTTTTGTTAGATCGAAGCCGATTTTGTCGAACGTCTTCGCTCCTGCGCTGGCCTCTCCTTCCTTGTCCCAAGTTCCGTGTCCAGTCTCCATAGAACCGACAAGATATCCCCTGCTGGGATACTTAAAACGACAGGCCACAGACATTATATACAGCTAGAACTGCCCTCCCCTGGCCCTGTATAGGTAAACCAGCGGCCTCCCTAGTACCCCATCAACCCAACATGCATAAGTATCCCGGCGTGCAACGGGAGATAAAGTCGCTCCTGCCATCCGGATGAGGGGGAGGGGGTGGCGCAACGCTCCTTCACCTCTTCCTCCCTCCTCCTTCCCTTGGACTGCTCAAGTAGGGAAGGAAGGACGGTCTACCCTGTGACGTCAGCAAGCACTCGCACCACAGACCCCTGAGGAGTAGTACTGTACTGTACAGTCCACCTCACCGTGTAGAGTACAGCACACAGTCCAGTTCAGTTCACATGACCTTGGACCCCCCAACCCGGTGTGTATCTCTTTCTCGCGGGGCTCTCTCTCTCTCTCTCTCTCTCTCTATCCTCTGTCGATCAGGGAAAGACAAAACAGGAGTCGAATACTGCATGCCTCCTGCCAAAGAGGAAAGAAAGAGAGGGTGCAGTGCCGCCCAGTGCCCAGTGCCCAGAACAAATGTATGTACTGTACATATGTACAGTCCTCCGTGCATCCAGCCCACGCCCACGCCGCATGGCATCCAGGAACCTTGAGCCCGCATGAGCATACTGGACACCTGAGGAGGTACCTAGCTACCTAGCTGCCTAGCTAGCTGCCTACCATCCATCCACCTCGGGCTGTACGTACTATCAATACCCAAAAGCAAGGGCTCGGGGTCGGGGACTCGGTCAATGCACCCAACAACCCCGAAGCAAAAAGAAACCCAGAAACGAAAAGAAAAGAAAAGAAAAGCAATAGGATAAACAGAGTATGCGATACCAGGTACGGTACCTTACTCCTCGGTGTCACCAAGTATGATTAAGGCAGACGAGCATCCGTAGAAAAGTTGTGCCTCGGCGAGGTACATCCCAAGTCGGCTGGCTGGCTGGCTGGCTGGCTGGCTGGCTGGTTCGCGAGAGGCTAGAAAGATGGGGCAGTTTGAGTAGGAAGATCCTGGACCCGGTCTTCTTGCTATGGCTCAGCTTAACACTCCCACCTCCAATCGAACCCAAGACTGGTGGATACCGATGGTATAAGGGTTTCTCTTCTGGATCAAGAACCCCCCCTCCCTCCCCCCCTCGGGCGCTTTCCTTTTTCTCAAGCAGCAACTGGCTCGGAATCGAACCTGCCTTGTCCAGCATCAGCATGTCGATCTGGAGGGGTTGGTCGGGTGTACGTACGGTCAGAGCAAACCGGGGCTCGGGCTCATAATACCTGGTGGAATACTTCGTATTCAATTGTCGAGACAGGTCAATTGAATAGGGACCGGGGTTGATAGTGAATTGTACCGGACATACAGTACCATACCGAGGCGATGACTGTGAAAGCCACCGATAGTTTCCTTACCAATCTACATCATGCACTTACCCAATGAGTACTGGTACTTGAAGGGCCGGGGCCAGATAGTGTCAAAAGATGCATACACGCCTGGAGAGGTTGCTGCTTCTCGTCCGATTGCAACTAATTCTACTATTCGATTTTCTAAGCCAGAAAGGCTACATGACCAGATGTAATTGGGCTTCGACTCGCCCAGGTTCAGTTCCCAGAAGTGAACCTGGGGTCTAGACCGGTGTTTGGGAAGTAATGAACATTTAGGAGATTCCACGCTCAAGGAAAAAGACGTGATAGAATGGCAACGCATTGCTAGTGTGTCAATCAGCCCGCTCGGGGAGCTTCATCAATTTGTTCAGGTTGTAGAAAGTGGAGGAAAGGAATGATAGAGAAAAAATAACATAAGTCACAATTCATATGTGGGGTTGCGAGGTGAGCTGTTGAGCAAGCCGAACCGGCTAAACCAACCATCTCGCAGAGCCCGGTCGTGTGTCCAAGCACAGAGAGAAAGGAACATAGACAGAAGATCACTCCGGACCAGGTCTGCCATGCGTTGACATCACAAAATTAAGCATCTTGTCTTCGGAACCAGGAAATAATAGAATCAACATGCTTCAAAAACACCCCAGAAGTAAGAAATAAAGAAATCATCCAAGCTTGGCACATCCCGTAGCGCGTTTCAAGTCACATTATGTACGGCGTTCACATTACATGATGGTGGGGGTCTTACGCTTCTCAGCGCTGGACAGCACAAGCATAGGGGTCTTGCGCCGTTCCTGACCCTGAGCTACCGTCTTCTGGCCAGCGACGACAGCAGCAACCGATGGGGAGCCTGTTCGAGGAGAGCCCTGATCCGCTCGAACGTCCGCAAACTTTCCTCCAAAGAACCCACCATCCTCACTGATAGGGGTCGTGTTGTAGGGGCTATCCTGCGATCTGCGCTCACGAGAAGACCTTTCTTTCCTCTCGGAACCAATTGCACCATTGGCAGCTGCGCGGAGGCTGCCCAAGCTGGGCTTGCTGGAAAGACTGCCACTACGCACAGTGGCATCATCTCCATCGGAGAACGTGAACTCCTTCTCACTGGCGGGGGTGTTCGTGCCACCACTGCTATGGCAACCGAAGCTCCGAGTGTCACCGCGGCGCTCGATGCCGGCGCGCACCAAGTTGTGGACGGCCCGACGTCGCTGACGCGTGGCAAAGTTCTTGCTGCCTTCGAACTTGGAGGTGGGCTTCGCAACCAGCTCTTCCAGGGAAGGAGGGCCGCGAGGCTGACGAGTGGGATGCTCACCCGCACGAGCTTGGCCAGGGCCAAAAGTTCCTGTTGCAGGGGTCTGAGGCAAGGCAGCAGTCTTAGGACCAGGCGCCACGATCTGGCTGTTGGCTTTGATGGTGTCGATGGGCAGTTTCAGTGCAGGGCTGAAAGAAGAGCTCTTCTTGTGTCCCCGACGGAATGCGTTGATTGAAGGCGGGGGCAGAGGAGCGACGTCCTGAGGCGGCGACGGGCTCGACCGTGGAGGAGACACGGGCTCACCAATGCTGACAGGGGACTGGTGGGACTCGGGGGGAGAAACCTCGGCTCTGAACGTGGGCACTTGCACGGATGGGAACGAAGGCTCCTCCTCGTGGTAGGGGGTAGTGGAGCTTTCCTGCTGGAAGGTGTTGTCATAGATGAAGTTTTGCTGGCCGGTCAGAGGGTTGTAGACCGAGAAGAGACCGGGCTGACCTGGCACCGGCTGCACGATCGGCTGCACACCCTGCTGAAGCTGTTGCTGGTAGAAGCCCATGCTGGGAACCGAAAGCGCAGGGTATTCCTGTTGCTGCTGAGCCATAGGTCCACCCAAGGTCATGCCCTGGAACTGCTGGGCTGCTGCAGTCACACTGATCAATTGCTGCTGCAGGCGCTGTTGCTGAGCCGCAAGAAAGAGGTTGGTCGACATCAATTCCGCATACAGGTTATCGTCCATTGGCATATCGCCAGCGATGTCGATAGCCGGAGGTGCGAGCACCTGCTCCGGCAAAGTATACATAGGACGACCCGTGTTCATGTCCACATTCTGATTTGTGGCTAGTGAGTGGCGTGGGAAACCGGTTCCCATGGCGGTTTGAGGGACACGCTCCGTAGCTCGGTTCGAAGGATTGCCATACCGGTCGCCTTCGTAACCCAGGTGCTGCTGGCGTTGAACTGCAGACGGCACGGTCGCGGACTTCGGTGCGGTCCTCAGTCCCGCCAATAGATGAGAACGGCTAGTGCGTGGCGTCGGGACGGGTGCAGAAGGCTGAGATTCATCAATGGTCGCGATGTGCGGCGGGGGTACGCTCAGTCGCTTGATATGGGAACCCTTCCGCCGAGAGCCGAAGCTGGCCCCAGGAACCCCGAGGGAACCGCCATTATTGAAAGAAGAGTTGTAGCTCATTTGAGCAAGACCGCCAGCGTCCATACTCGTGATTGTAGATGATGAAGTGTACAATAATATATGTGCAAAAGACGAAGAAAAGGGTGTGCTGGTGAATCAGCAACGCAGAGTAGCCTTGGCGTATTAAAGGATTAAGAGGCTTCGGCAATGACGAGACGCACAGACAGACCAAGACTGGATGATCGAGGGGCAACGAACGGTAAGGATAGTCCACACCTTCCAGGATCAAAGACCGATAGGAGCTTTCGTAACAATCAGCCAAATGCTGCGAGCGACCGCCTCAACGCCAGCTTACCTGCGAAATACAGGAAGAAAATGCAAGTCGACGCGCCTTGATGGAATGGCACCAGACGGCAAAGAGCGATTAAAAATCAGGTGTACAAGAAAATAAAACCCAGGCGTCAGCGTCGACTGATCAATGCTGGTGGCTTAAAAAGGATGACCAAGAAAGAGGCGAAGGTAGACGCGACCGGAGCAAAGGAGTAGTCGGCTCAAGCAACGGTGGAGGTTAAGGATATGTCTGCGATTTAAAGACCGATGATGGCGAACAGACGGGAGATGCTCTGCAACTCCCTAGTAGGCGTGAAAAAATAAAGCTCGACACAACGATGTAATGAAGAGAAGACTCAAGCCTGAACTGTCCGTCCGAATCTTTCGCAACACAAACACAGCGATGCGATGGTGACGAGATGGGAAGTAAGGGATGCAAGCAAAGACTTTTGGGTTCTTGTCAAGGGAGATGGATGGATGGATGATTAAGGGCGTGTTCTTCTCGGTTTCTCCAGATTTATCTTTAATAACCTTTTCTTTTAGTCCCTTTTTCTCACTGACGCTTTTTTCTTTTTTGTGTTTTCTGGGGTTGATAAGGATTCCGCGCACTTGGGACGGTGGAAAGAGAGAAGGAAAGGTGAGAGGATGAAGTGAGGAAACGAGTCTCAACGCCGGGTGTGATTGATTCGTTTCTTCGGCTCTCGGCGCGTGTTTTGGCCGCCTTGTTTTTTTTTTTTTTTTGCTTTTTTTTTTCTGTTTCGTTTTCCGTGGCTTTACTGTCCTGCCGCGCCTAATCGGGAAGCCAAGGGGTTCTGGTGCCTCAGGCAGACAGACGGTGCGAGATACCTCTCCCGATCACAAGTCGGATGGAAGACGAGCACAAAGCAAGGTCGGGTAGAACACGCAAATTAAAGGTCTAGCAGATGGAAGCAAAGCAATCAAGTGAGGTATAAGAGATAGGCGGGAATTAGGCCTTTGGAAAAGAGGCCAAGGGTAAAAAGGGATCTGGTTAAGTAGAGTGACAAGGCTGACGGGGGGCGAAGGAGGCTTGGGTATGGCGGGAGGTGCGCGAATAAGAGAGAGAAAGAGAAGGGAGAACGAAAGATGTCGAGGTAGAGGGGGAGGGGGAGGGAGTGAAAGCAAAAGATAGAGTAGAGGTAGAGGGGGGGGCAGAGAGAGAGGTAGGTAGAGAGAGAGGGTGAGGAAAGAAGGGAGAATAGAGGAATGGATAAATGAATGAGGAGAACACTAAGTAATAATAGATAGAGAAGGGAAGGGGAACCAGTGGGGAGGGGGGGGAGAAGTTTGATGGGGTGAAGGAGTGAGGGAGGGAGGGAGAGAGAGAGAGAGAGAGAAAGAGGCAGAGTGTCAATGAGAGAGAAAGTGAAAGCTGCCATTCTCCAATTCCAGCTTCCAGACGCTGGGCTGAGACGCCCACTTCGCCGCCCTGGTCCAGTCTGCCTTGCTGACTGGTTCGCTTGACTGCAACACTTATCCTCTCTGAGACTAGTGCTGTGGCCATTGTTTGGCAGTTGCGGGCCTGGGGCATCTGATTGGAGCCAGCATCCAACCGGGGTCTGGTGCCTGAGGATTTCCAAAGGTCTCTTAAGGTCTCTACGGAGCTAGATAGGTAGACTAAGGATTCCTGAGGAGTGCGGACAGACAATTGTTTGGTCTTAATGAATCCCACCCGTCAATCACCCGTTCCTTTGTCTGATGCTTCCAGTTTGTCAAGTGTCAACTGTGTCATCTGTGTCATACGGGACCCATCTCTTCATATTGCACCCCGCCCACATCTAGACAGTAGAGATGCAATGAAGCTCCTGCCACCTCTAGGCTCTTACTGAAGCCACCGAACCAGAACCATATGTTCGTCCCACCGACCAGTGCGCTTGAACTCACAAATCCACCCGACGCTCGGCCAATTCGTCGTCACTCTTTCACTTTCCTCATTGGCCCAGACCTCCTTAGGTCTAACTCATGTCTCCACAGCCGCCCTCTTGACGAGTGACGACCGATAGTTAGGTTGCCAACCAAGCCCGAAAGATATGGATCCGGCAGTCTCACCCATATCGTCCACAAGATCTCTTTTCAAACGAATAGACACTGACCCAAGCATCCGGATAATTAGCATACATACAGGGATTGAGCTGAATGCAAGCATCCTTGAATGACACCCCACAAAGCCATCAGCGGTCTGGTTGCAAAACCAGGCCCTTCACCGATGGTAAATATACGTAACTGACATCATGCTGGTTGGACACCACGAAGCACAGAATTGGATGATTGATAGGCGTGAGATCCAGCTGCAAGATCCCGTTCAAGTCGTGCCTTCTCCTCGTCCGTGGCATCCGTGAGGCGGACGGCAACCTCTTCACCAAAATTCTTCGCGACTTCCTCGAGGGTCAGACGGGCTGTCTCGGGGAAAGAGAAATATATGACTAGGGATTCGGTTAGTAACGGTGCAGTAGGCTAGTTCTCAATCTGGGAAGCTCAGTACTACGTACCTGGAATGAAGAAGACGGACCAGCAAATAATGACCAGGTAGTACTTCCATCCAATGTTGTTGAAGCCCATTGGAGCGGTTTCAAGTAATATCAATGTAGCTGCACCCTTCAATTAGCCGCGTTGCAAAGGACTCCCATAGAGGTTCTACTTACCAGCAAATTGTCCAAATAATGAAAAGCCCATGCCAATCGGCCGAATCTCGGTGGGGAATATTTCAGACACATAGAGGTACATCGTGGTATCACAGAAAGTTCTGTAGCAAAATTAGTACCCCATCGTGGATTGGTTGAAGACCTGCTTACCCCTGGAAGGCCAAATAGAGGTAAATGAAGAAAATGCCAAAACCGTTTCCAACCCGATTCTTGGTCCCTGCATACTGTGCTGTCATGGCAGCTAGGCAGGCTGTAGTGATGATAATCCCAGCAAAGCCAACAATATACATTTTCCGTCTTGAATTTACTCTGTCATGAAGCCAAGCTCCTAGCGGGTTATAGATTATTCCTAGACCTCAGGTGTCAGCGCCAGCTGGATCATGAACAGACCATCTTACCAGCTGTGGTAAGCCATATTGCACTGAGAAGCAAGGGCATGCTGCCTGTCATCCCCAGGTTAGTGTATAAGATGACGGCGTAGTTGTTCTGTCAAATCAATGAGCGGCTAATCGAACAGTATTCGTGATTGAGCAACTGACTATGATCAAAGGCCCACCAAATTCTGCTCCCCATTGGGTCAGGAAACCAATAACCATGCGTTTCCGATATGACCTTTTCTTGAAGACTGCTTTCCATACACTGCCATAGATAGACAATCGCTCTTTCTCCAGATGAATCTGTTGGGTGGTCTGGTAGAATTCTTCCTTGGCAACGAGATTGTCAGGATCATCAGGAGATTTGCGCAGTCGCTCCAAGACTGATTGGGCCTCGCTTTGTTTCCCTTTGCTGATCAACCAGCGAGGAGAGCGGGGAACCCACGGTGACCCTAGAAGCAGGATCAAAGGTGGGAGACATTGAAGGCAAAGCGGAAACCTCCAACTGAAAGTACCCATTTGACGTTGCGCAAAGTAACACGCATAGCCAACCCATCCAGCAAGCACGTAACCGAAGACCAGAAATATAGCATGGTGGCCCACAAGCCAGCCTCGGCGGAAAGCGCTCGATATTTCGGAAAGGTACATGGGGCAGACCGTTACCAGGATCCCGATTCCCAGGCCGCAGATAAAACGCCCTGCCTGGAACATGCTGGAGACACATCAGCTTACCAGTTTCAAAGAATGTTTGGAACACTTCAGCACGCACCTTAAAGAGTTGGCACCACCTTGGAGGGCACCGCCAAACATGGCGAGGAGAGCGCCCAGCTGGATGTTGCGCTTGCGCCCAAAGAAGTCGCATGACCACATAATGAAGAGACATCCAACTGCACCCCCGGCGCTGTATACACCGTTGGCAGTCGATATGGCTGATGTCGTGGTCGATGCGTATCCAGGCTGGCCCTCTTGTGGAAGGTTGAAATAGGTATACCACCCTGGTTGGCCGATGGTACTCGAGATGATCGAGGAGCAGTAACCGTAGGTCTTGAATGATTGAATCGAATTAGAACATATTAGAGTGATAAGAGGATAGAAGTCGAAGTCTTACCATTGACCCTACAGCAACAAAGGCCGTGACCAGCCTGTTGTAGCTACTCGTTTGCGATCCGAAAGTGCCCATGATGATGTATCAGCCTAGCACACAAGGCGAGAGCGTTAGAGATCAAACATAAATCAGAGTCTGGCGATGAGTCTGGTCAATCAGTATACTCAGCCACGATGCTTCAAGAAAGTGTGCGACCGAGGAATGCTTGGTTAATGGATTATGCAATCCGCTCTGCACAACAGCTAAGGATAGCACACGGACATCCACCCATTGATTGAAGGGGTGCATTTGCTCTCTTCGCTTGATGTTATGGGTGATGTACTACTCCTTGCTTAGTGCATATCTCAGTCCAGGCAATAATGACAGCTCAATGTGTCTTGTTTGCACCCTTGCTCGAAGGTTAATCGAAGGCTAATGCCTGGCTAATTCGGTTCGTTTCGAAAAATGAATGACAAGAAGGGGAGAAGAAAGTTGACAAGGACGGAAGGATGGCTGTCGCCTCGTGCTGATTCCCCGCATTTTTACTCCCGGATTAAGGGTTGTGTTTGTTGCAGGTTTGTCTCCTCCAGCTGAGAGTTTGCCAACTTCAACCTTCTTACACGACTCTGCGTTCCACAAGCCACGTTCCAATCGGCGCCATTCTATCTTGGATTGGATACTCACCTCGAGGATCTCTCTTCTAACTGGCATATTGGAAGGAGGTCAGAGCATCACTTCAAGTATGTGCTACGACACTATGGTGACATTGATTGAAACTGACATTGCGAGGTCGCACTATATTGACCCACCATACGAACCACTCATTAACAGTCCTCGCACCACAACTCCACGAATCAATCCCTTGCACAGCTGGTATTGAACAGTACAACAGGGACTTGCGATATCTATGTTATCTTCCCCAAGAACAGTAGACTCCACGCAGGGTGTCTCTGTAGCCATGACGGATAGACAATC